AAATTTTTGTCTTGGGTAATGATGGTAAAAATGTTGTCGCAGTTGGGAGAATTAAACTATAAGAAAAGCATTCCGGAAAGTGAAACTGTAACTGAGATTTTTGAAGAAACTAGATAGAAAAGCAGAACTTTGAATGAGACAGTAAGAAGCAATGAAAATGTATTACATAATATGACAATACTTAATCCAAAAAATAATTCTTTTATTCATAAATAAATTTACTGTTATATTCAACGTGAGTTATCTATTTTCCAATGGTGTTCATTCCATCTGTATTTTCATCGTATACCAAAATATTCCATTATGAAACAATTAATTCGCGTTCTTCTTTCTGCAAAAATTAATTAATTAAGACAAATTTAAAAATTACGAATTTTAAATTTGTAATGAAGTTTGAAGGAGACATAAGAAGCTAGTCATAATATATGTTGTAAGCTAACAGGAAGCATTGATAAATGTTTACAACAGTCTTCTGAAAATAATTACTGCAATATTTCATTCAAAATATCCTATACAGTATTCGTTTCAACTCTGATAAAAATTTATCATAAATTATCGTAAATTTTTCACTCAATCATCGAATAATAAATAAATTATCATAACTTATTAATCTTATCATAACTCTCTGCTTTCTTTTAACAATCGTCTTTTTTTTTTAAAATATATTAGTATCTAACCGGTACTTTACGCATTTTCTTGACATAAAAGACTAAGTAATTAAACATCGTTCAATAATTTATTAGTAATTTTAGTTTCGTAATTAAGTTTAGTAATCTTTTTGTAACAATCAGAAATCGAAAATAACAATTAGTAAAATCAATCCTCATTAATTTAAAATAAAATTGAAAAATTATTTTAGAGAGTAAATTTTTCGTAAGAGTGTAATCAAAAAATCCACTTTTATCCGACGGGCAAAGATTCTTTTTCTACTTGTACTTTTTTTAAAAAATACATCCAGGAATCAATATTACTACTCCTTCATAAGGGCGTTGTAATGAATAATTGCTATCTAAGATACATAGGATAAAGAGATTTTTAGAACGAATATACGACGAGGAAAAAATGTAGATAGATAAATATATAAGCGTTTATAGAAGAGTAGGAAGGAATTTGTGAGAGTTTGTTTCTTATAATTAATCTATGTACTTTTAAAACTTGATCTTTTTCATTTTTACAGCTGCTGAAAGAAAAGCATAGCTTCTTCGCCATTATCATCAAAAGTTGTAATCAAAAAGCAAACGTTAAGAAGAGATTACGAAATCTAAAAAAGACTTTCCGAAAAAGAAACTTCAGCAGAGTTATTTTCATTTGATTATCTCAGTTGTAGTTTTGAAATTGCAAAAATTAATTGTCAAAAATCAAAACTTGAGGATTGATCTCAAAATTTTTAATGGGTGGAAAAATTTTGAAATTGGAATAATTTGAAGTTAAAGTTAATAGAAGGGTGAAAGATGAGAAATTTAAAGAAATGAAATTATGCGAACGGATGAAACGAGAAATAGATGCAAAGTATTGAACAAATTTTTTTTGCTAAACATACATGAAATATCGTTTCCAAATTCAAAGTACCAATATCGAAAACTTTCTTTGGCGTTTTCCCAATGGTAATGTATGATTTTGGTAACTTGAATTTCACCTTTCTTTTTCCAGGCTAAAAAATCCTTAAATTAAAAATCGAAGGTGGGAATCTGATTATTACAAGAGAGAAAATTTTATTGACAAATTTGCCGTCTTTGCATCCTTTAAAAATATAAAACCGAACTGTTGTAAAATCAAGGAGCGTAGTAAATTAACTGAATTGTAGTTAGTCTTGAAAAATCAATTATGCACATATTTATTTACTCCGAAGTCTTTTGAAATTCAGATTTGGAATTAAGAAGATTAATTGAACTATCGTATACCTTGATTCCATCGTCACAGTCGTGATAAACCTTGAAAACAGGATCAATTGGTGTCAATTCTACAGTATCACCCTTAAGCATAAATTCACCGTTCTGATCCGTATAACCCTGATCAAGCAAATCATCTGGATCCGGTCCTAAAATAATAATTTCCATGTAATATTCTAGGAATGTCACTAAGGTAAAACATTTTGATCAAATTACAGCTACATGTGGTCCTTCCTTATCTTCGCTTGCCCATCTCACAATAATTTCAAAAAATAAAGCCCACGAACCGGTATCTTCTTCCCAGAGCTTTACGCGTACATTGGAAGCCGGGTTCGAACCGCACATTAACCGACCACGAACTGCAATTGATTGAGTCCGGAAACTTACCACACCAGACAATAACGCCAGCAGCACTATCACCGTTTTCATGAATCTTCAAATATCATTCATCACTACTTCATTTCATTCATTGCTATTATATTACGAAAACGTTAGATAGTATTTAAAAAAATCTGCAAGTAATTCGGATCAATTTTTTGACACTTCAATTTCAGCTGTTCCGAATCATTTAATATCTCCACATATTCCTGAGATATTCTTTGATGGATTAAGCTATTACTTCCTAAAAAACTAATTAATCGTTATCAATCTTCAGAAATTCTGCATCGTAGATCTATTATACTCGTATAGTCTCCTCTCTTATAAGCCAATAATTAATTAACTGATGGCCTATTATTTCGCTTCATTTGAATTGTAATAGTTGAATGATATGAAGAATGCAATTCTCTCCTCTCAGATGATTCTGACTAATAAATAACCACAACTTGAGATTGACGCATATTATCTGTAATATTGCCAAATCGAGCGCTGTCACATGAAACATGTCACAGCCATTTTTTTTTTTAATATTTGCTGGACTATTCTGTTTCTTAGAGAATCTCATATTATCATATTCTACGTTAATTTTTCGGATCACTGATGTAACCCTCGGATAAACTGATTAAGCGATCGGATTATATATATATATATATATATATGTTATCATCATTACTTCGTACAGGACATTAAAACTTCAAAATTTATTATTAAATTAAATCTCATTCAAATTCTCATCGTAGGCTTATAGAGAAGAGCGGAATAATCTTTGTCGCTTTCTTTGAATGGATTTAATATTACATATGAAGTATTAACAAGAAAAAAAATTAAAGTATTATTAAATTACATTTAAAGAGCGAAGAAAGAAGGATCGGTGTTGTGCAATGAAGGAAGGTAAGATGAGATGAAAGATGAAATGAGGAAGGAAAGAGAAAAAGAAAAAGAGCAGAAGGAAGAAAGAAATATTTGTAGAGTGGAAGTTGGATTAATTGTTTGTTCAGACCTTCAGTTTGCTTTTTCATCACACAACACTGTTAAGAAATCGCGACGAACTGATCAAAGATTGTTTCCAACAGCAACATTTCTGCTTTCTCCAATATCTAAAAACAAGAAAAATGATTTGTGATAAATTCATGCAAATTGAATTTCACCGTAAATTTACATCTCTGTCATTTACATTACTTTATTTAAATCTCTTTATTATTATATGTAAAGTACTTTAATCACCGCTATGACATTTCACATTCGTTAATTGAAATTCCAACCACTGAAAACTTGAATTTTCACAATGACCGTTCTCCGTTCTCATTCCTTTCAGGTAGTGTTCTGGGAACGAGAAAGGAGGAATAGCGAGTATGGGGGGTGGTCAAAGGTAAGGAGATGGCGCGAGGTTTGATTAATAATATTTATTGTGATTGGTATTTTAGGTATATGCTACTGATTATCACCATTTATTTGCATTATTGTTGTCCATCTAGGTGATTAGATATTGATGTGTACCATATAGCTGGACAATATTCTTATTTATTTGTGACTTGTTGGTTTCGAAATGATTTGGAATGAGGCAGTCAATGATGAAGCTTCATGTAAACGGAAAATTTACTGCCCGCAATTGATGGTTATGGATATCAACAACGAGCCTCTCTACGCTAAATGCAAAAAAAGAATGCGGAAAGCTGAAGCTAAAATGGTCTTTAATGTTAGTACGATGTCATCATTGCCTTCTGAGAAAGTAAGGATATTTTTCTTTAAGTTCAGGATTATAATATGGTTTTCATAGAAAAAAAAGTTCTGCAGAAAGATTGCAAACATATTTGTTTCAACTTTAGTTAGAAATTAGAAGTAAATCTCACCACTTCTAATTACTAATTTTGAAATAAATAGATTTATAATTTGTAAATTATTTAGATATATAAAAATCTTTCGGCAATTAATGGATTCAGTTTTTATGATTCTATTATCACAATGTTTAAGTGGGATTTTGCTGTTTATCCTAGTTATTTTCTTTCTTATGTAAATATCTTAATGATATCCTTCATCTTAAAGCAGACTTTATGTTAGGATGATATTGCTTAAAAGTATATGATCAGAAACAATCATGATTTCATTCTGCTGAAAGACACTTTTTAGGACATATTTGCTGCGTCAGTGATTCATAATTTTCCTCGAAATGGAGGAAATGTAACTTATGGCGATGTTCTTTTGGAGTATACTCCACAACCAATACCATCAGATAGTATGAGGATACGCTTGTATGTCGCGTTTCCTTCAGACAAAAAAGAGTGGTTCAAGTAAGCTTTTCTAGCAGTTGGATTGTTGAAACAGATTTTGCATCTGACAATTGGGTGTTGTTAAAAGTACCAGATGAAGAATAATAAACTGCAAAAGTTCTACTTTGAAATTCCACACAAGATAGAGAGGAGTACTTGTCAGCTTGCATCTCTCGACTTACTAATTAGAGCTGAAGTACTGGAAGATTTAAACAAAATTTAATAATCATTTCTTCGTCCAAAAAAGAAACTCTAAAACTCCATAGAGTAAAAAAGCTAATTTGCAATTTTCCAAAATTTTGTTTTATAGCCAGGAATGTTTGCAACGTGCTGGATTAATTGGATTATTAGTTCAAACATTCATTACTATTGAGCTGAGCAATTTCAATAATGGCAGCACAGATGATCTGCGCCCCTATATCCCCTTTTTAGATGACTATTGGGCAGAACAGTTAGCAGGCATGTTGTCAGTTTTTGATTTAATAGACATGCAAAATGCTAGAAATTTGCAGTTGTATGAATATTAGAATTGCATACATAAGAGCATGATTCCAACGTATAATAAGCTTCTCTTGTGCATTAAAAGGATTAATTACGTATATAAATTGGCATATGATTGTATTTTGTTTTCGCTTCAGTGTTAGTGGAGTGCTGTACTTTCTTCATATTGAAAAAAGATGATGCAAAATATTTATGGCCTTTGATTTTTGAATTGTTTAACACTGAATAAAACTTACAGAAATTCCGATGGAAGACCGAACGATGACATCGGGAGCTTATGTCGCAATATCTGGTAAATCGTTCTCGCTTATTTATTTAATGATATATTTTGTAAAATTTAGGAAAATAAAGATAATTCAAACTTCATACGTATCAGCAACCACTGACTGCTAACTGTTTTTTTTTATAGCTTATGCATATTTCAAAGAAGCAAAAAGATCTTGGAATATATAAAACTTGAATTGTTCTTTTTTCATTAAAGCACATTTTTATTTTTCTCATGTTTTGTTTAATATGTCTTCCTAATGATTCGTGCCATTTATGAATTGCCTGTTAGGTTCTATACTTAAATAGATAGACGTTAGATGGAATCATGCAACATATTACCGAATTATCTTGAAATAATTCGTTTTGTTCGAGTACTGAAATACAAATAACCAAGAGACAGCTCTTAGATTTTTTAGATAATTTTATAAAACTTCAGTTTGTTTCAGAACCACAGTTCACAGAGATGATACCATCTGTAGCACTTTTACAATTAGATAAAACAGCTGCTGAATTAGCTCATGAACGTCATCTTGCAAAGTATATTCGTAGACGCCTTTCCCTCCTTGGTCAGTTGGATGCCAACAAGTTGCTCCATCTGGTTTTCCTCCTTTCACCGCAAAAGAGTGATGGAACAGTAGAAAAGGTTCAACGACTTTTTGCTTATTTTAAGCAGTTTTTGTTCTCATGTTCTAATACCTTGACTAAGATTCAAACAGATAGTTATATATACAGATATCATTTTTATATACTCTTTGTTAATAGGAAGTAGTTGCTGTTGATGGGATTTATTGATTCTGTGTATTTGCAGAAGCAATAACGAATTGGAATGAACCATTTTAGTATAATAAATCTTTAAATAATAATCTCATGTTATGATTATCCTTTTTAGGACAAAATCGAAACAATACTTGACGTGAGTGTCATAAAATCTGCTGCCTTCCACTATATGCCTGCAGTTGCATCCAATGTGCATCGTTTTTTACGGAATGTAAATCATGAAAGTAATCTACCAACTCATCACTGTTGGCGTGTGGCGAGTTGGCAAGTAAGTTCTTTATTTTGATTTTAGCTTATAAGCCTATATTTATGTTATTTTAAGCTATTTTAAACAAGTCTTTCAAAGCAGTCTGTTGGACATTTTTCCTTGTCACATCGTAAAGAATCGCGCAGAATTTATTCATTGAAGTCGTTTCTTTTTTTTCTCCTTGAAAAGCTCTCTTAAACATTTAAAGTTACTATTATATTTCAATTATAAGCTCTTATTTCCAAAAGTTACTATAATTTTTTTAAAGTTACTATAATTTTTATTATAATTTAAGTTATAATTTTTTATTTGTTAATGAAATATAAAGGCATTCAGGATGATGCATATATACTGCAGCATACAAGGGGTGGTGTCGTTGCATCTTATTTGGGTGCTGTTTTGCATGAAGTCGGTCATCTGTTCAAAATTCCTCATACTAATTCTGGAATCATGTGCCACGGTAATATTATGTGTGCTGTTTTTTAGTCTTTGTGAATTTCGACATCCGAGGTTAGTTAAATTCCAGCTGTCAAAAGAAAAGGAAGGAGAAAATGAGATTGGTGAGGAAATGAAAGGGAATGACTGATCCTTTATTGTATCATATCTGTTCAAAGATTTCAGTCTTTTGTTAAAAGTAAACGCATACACTTTCAGGAGGTGAAAATATTCAAACGTTTTTCTTGCCTGCTAAAAAGCTAAATCTCGGTTTTCCTTTGAAAAAATTTCCAGCGCTGCAAAGAAGTGAGGATGTACATATTTTCAAAATTGTAAGTCTTTATGTTGTTACAGTATATTGCATTTACTTCCGAAAGTCTTTCAATTTTATGTTCGAATTTATATGGTATTCATGTTTGTATTTTCTATGTGTGCTTGCTTAATCGTAACTGCTAGGCTGCTTATGTCATATTTTATCGATTTCAGTCATATATTAAAGTTTCTCAAAAAAATTTTTTATAAAATTAATCTTTTACGATAAAAATTGCAACTTTGTAAAATCCGTTCTATATACCATTATGATATGGCATGGAGGTTCTATATTATCTCATTTTTAAACATATGCGAACGTAAATGCTCGTATTTGTATCAGTTCTGTACATAAGATGCTCTCGTTAAATACACGTAGATTTATTTGAATAGTTCCTGGAGAAATGCAATATATAATATAAAAATAATAAATAAATATATAATTATGTCCGTTCTTTCTTTGCAGAAAGTTCAGCGTGAAGTCGTGTTCAAACAAATCATGGACAGTTTGCTCGATTCCACAACAAAATTGCTGATGACTGTCCATCCTTTAATCACACACAAACCACGCAAAACAATGTGTCAGATTTCATATAATGAGAATACTGGCGTTGTGGAAGTAGAGTCAGGAGTGCGTTATTTGGTCTATTATACAAATAACGATATCAAACGTATTTGTTCATTTACGGAACAACGTATGAAGAAAAGAGTGGTTTTGAAGACGAAGGGACCACCAATTCGAGCTTTAATTGTTACTGGCGAGGGTAATTTTTTATCAGTTCTTGTGACAAATGCTTTATGAATATCTTATTTATATGTATATCTTATTTATTTATATGTATTTATATGTAGAAATTATTTTCAATTATTTCTCATATGTTCCGTCAAATTATTTTTCTGGTAGGTGTATGAATTGTTTAAAAAATAATGCATTATCTCATCCACATACTATAAAATTTAATTTTCTATAAATTCCAATAAAAGATTTCAAGATCATTTTATTTATGAAACAATTCAAAATTGCAAATTGAGACTTTTCCTTTGTTATGCCAAAGAATTGGCTATTTTATGCCGTTATTCTTTCATAATCTGTACTCAAGCGCAGAAAAGCGACTATTACTTCTACATTTTGATCTCATTTCGGTATGGCTTAGTCATTATTATGTTTTGTACCGCTGAATTCAATTAATTGTTCGGGTTGCATAGGCTTTATTTTGTAGTCCTGACTTTATGACATCGTTGAAAATGATGGACTTGTAACGTATGCATTTTTATGGATTTATATTATTCCACCTTCAATTTTTCCTATTGTGACCATTTTAGGTGCTCGTGTGTTGATTAAACGATTGGCTATCAGATCCTTGTGATTTCTGATTTGAGAGCATAATTTAAACTTTTTACAATATCAAACAAATTTCCTCTCTATAGAAAATTTCGAAATTGAGCAAGTTTGTCCATATTTTCCAGTGACCCGTCAGCTGATACATCTTCGGAATCGGCAAATATAGTGCGAGATTGATGAAATTGTATTACCTATGCCGCATCTCAGCTAAATCTATCTCATTCTTCTGAAAGAAAAGAAAATCCTTTTGTTGGAAGGATAATTCCAAACATGTCTTTTAATTTACGATATCACCAAGAATAATTGCCCTGCCATGCTAGTTGAAAGAGATTGAAGGTGTGATCTACGCAGGAGATACAAAGGTCTGGAAAAAATTGGAAATTTCAAGCTTTAAACTGGAATTAATTGCTATTAATTCTAATGGGTGCACTGCGTATGTTGATGTTGTCTAAATTGCTAAATTATTTTGATCATAGATTGAAATATAACCTGTGTGTAAAAGGTTTTTCATATACAGCATCACCGTAATCATTGGACCGTGACTGGTAATATTTTTCCTGGCTGCTCTCTTTTGTCATTTGTATTTTACGTGAACATCGCTGCCTATGTTGATCGGATTCCTAAAAAGAAGTTGCAATTCGAGTGAGAATTATGGAAAAGTATGCTTTTACTATGGAATTGTTGTGGTTATTTTACCCGCATGCTGCATTCCGAAGGTGGATGCTGTCTCTGTGTCGGATTGAACACGAATGCATGATCTCCACGTAAAACCGTTTTTAATTGCTTGGTATTCGATGAATCGGGTCTCACAGTTTTCGCAGGATTAGATTTGTCATGATTTGTCTGGAAAGAAATTCTGGTTATAATTGAAAGAATGAAATTCGAATGGAGTCGTACATTTTTTCAAAAAGACTGATTAAATCATATTCTCCAAAGGACTGACTTGAAATTTAAAATACTTTTAAACGATATTTAAGTTCCCAGTTCCTTCCTAGCTATTGATTTTCTGCTTGAATTGGTATCTTCGAATCTAATGAAGTAATGAGGATGGTTTCTGCAGATGATCTTCGAATTAAATACATTGAGAATGCAATCAATATCTTACTAATAATTTTAGATTCTGATAGGTGATGCTATTCCTGGAACTGACACTGTGCAACATGCTAGCATCCAAATCATACACATTATCGATCCATGTATTTCGTGATAGGGACGAGTTGCATGAATCATTGAGGTAAACCTTGAGAATTCTTGAACTTAGAAATTTATGAAATTGAAGAAAGCCATAAAATTACAAATGGATCAAAGTGAATGTAAACAGTGCCGAAAAAGTGTACTAGGCACTGATTTTGAACAAGAGTTCTGAATCTGAAAAGAGATTGTTCTCATCCAGAATCTAACTGAGACATTTTCAAGTTTCACACTTATCAATATAATAAGTAAAGGATCATTTCTTTAATTTAAAAATAATTTCATATGAATAGAAATCAATGAGAAATGGAGAATATTGAAACCTTGTTTGTTAAATAATTTTTCACCTCACTCTCATTGTTCTGCAAAACATTTGGTCCACAATACACAGCTCGCTGTATCACATCATTTTTATAATTATGCGTCATCTCTGAATCCGATCTTATCACCGAAAATAATCGCGAAAGTTTCGGCTTCCAACATTTTCGTCTTTTCACAATGCCATTAGCAAAAAGATTCCTCCGTACAATCCATAAAACAACAACAAATATTGCGATGAAAAATAAAATGCAAATAATACTAATCAGTGTCCAGAATACTTTCCAATCCAATGAAATTGACGCTCGCTTCATCAAGAATTGATCGCAACCTTTACGAGCGCCTTTGTGTCCAACACTTTTGAAAATCTGCAAAATCTATTGATTAAAATACACTTAAAAGATCGTTCCCATCCTTCAACAATGTAACACTTCCAACCTTAACAGATCAGAAATGCAATGTTGTTTTAAAAAATAAATTCTTGTTGTGCGATATGTCACATCATAAAATCATTATCACATTATCATTATCATACAAAACATTTCATTTCGTCTGTGGAACTATTGGTACATAAGAAAGATATACCTGTTGTGATAACAGATTTCCTTCTAATGCATCAAAATTTTGTGCTTGATTGTTTACAAGAAATCGCCTAAAGCAGCCGCTAAAAGTAGCTGCGTAATCCATAGTATCGTGACCCAAAGACAAAGATAACAAGGAATTCGAAATCAAAGTTGGTAATTGCTCCTCAGACCGAATTTCTTTACCATATCCGTCGATCTGAAATCTCGAAATTCAACAAATATACTGATTTAAAAGATGGACTATTTTCGAGTAAAAATATCCGAGAGATTGTGATAAAAATTCTATTGTAAAAATTTCTAATAATTTTTGGAAAACTTGAATGATTAATTTAAGTTAATACCTGATCGCTATATATTTTGATTTTGCATTCGTAAATATTGTGGTGAGAGAAACTTGCAACACACACTACCTTTCAAAGAAATTAATCTAAATTACCTCAATCCTGGAAAGTTTCTGGTCTTTGCTTATCTGAATGCTAAGACGATGCCACTCAGTATCATCAAGATCGCTTGCAATATATACTTCCATTGGTTGAGCGCCTTTAATCTTTGTTATCATGTACGCTGATCCGTTAATGAGCTGAACGTAAAATAATTTATTAGTCATATGAAATTGACTTCTAATTTTTCTAAGAAATTTTCGAAATTTCAAAATCTTGGTAAACTTGAATTTGCGAAAAACCTCAACACCCTGTAACATTTTGTAAAATTTCTTCACCTCAATTTTGCTAAATCTCGTCTCTTCAACTATAGCAAAAATGACGGCATTCCTGAGAGCAGTCTTGAAGTCAAGTTCCATCCATTGCTCAGGAATATAATCCAATATATCGCCTTCTCTTTAAAAAAGAACTTATCAATTTTCTAACATTAATTTCAACAAAAAACATTGCAGATCAATTAAAACAATAGATTATAATGGATTCCCCTATTATGCATTCATATTCAAAATCATTATTGAAAATCAATATTAGTAATCTTTTTCAATCAGTTTTTGATTCTAAAATTTCGGAGTTTTTGTCTTACTGTTAGTAATTCTGCCATTTATAATACTGTGGCTCTTTCGATATTTAACGAAAAATATTATTCACAAGCTAACATTTCCGATTCCTCACAAGGAATCTCGCGCAACTGTTCCTTCTCATCAACGATAACATTGCGCCTATGCTTTTGTGACGATATTTGTATAGAGGTATTGTGCTTTGAAAGCTCAATTTTCTCCATCATATACACGGACAATTGGAAAACGATTCCACCGCTTTCAACATGCCATGGCTCTATTGCTAAAAATTTTATGATTTTCAATTTAAGAAGATGCATGAAATGCGACATTTTGAAGGGAATGCCTCTGATCAGACATGGTATTATTATTTAATAGCTAACCCTTATGACAATTCAACGCATCGAAACCGTCTGTACAAATGCATTTCTTATCATTCTCATCAATAACACAAACGCCACCAGAACATATATCAACATCACCACCATCTGCGCACGTCTTCCAATTATCTTTGTCAATTAGATTATGCTCCAAGAAACCAGGAACTTTTTCAATTTCATGCTCGTTAATTATGATTCGATTCATGCAACCCTCAAAGTTGACAATATCGGTCTGAAATACATATATTTTATTGAAGTGCTAATTTGAGATATTTCATATATTAGTTTAGAAGAACTGCGCTATAGATTTCTAGGAAAAGTAAGAGATTATTTCAGAAGTTTTGAAACTGTCAATAACATTTGTTTGTGATTTCTGTTATAAACTAGCAGCAATTTTTCTAAAATTTACAGGTGCTCTAATTATTATCGAATCTTTAGTTTTTTTTTATAGATGGTAAGACTGCTTTATTGCAGAGCAATAAGTTACTTCGAGTTGAGCGATACTCGATGAGCATTGTTTATAGTATATAGATAATTGATCATTTTGTAGACGAAACTAACGGTACAAGAAAAGGTCATAAAGTCATTTGATACATAAAACTAATTGGTAAACAAAAAATTTCCTGGTCATTTGAAAGGTAAAGAAACTAACCTTTTTTGTAATAATGTCGGAATTAACGGAATTTTTCATTCCTCCAACATACACAATTTGTTTTCCAACAGTTGTCAAAATGCTGAAATTTGCTTATCAAATAAAATGCTGTAGAATATTACTCTGACCGGAAATATCCAATGACTAAAAATCTAATCACCAAATTTTCAAAAAATTTATTAAAAATAATATCTAATACAGACTCAAAATTATTCGCCATAACAACGCAGCGAGTGCTTTTGCATGGCTCACAGAAACCATCGTCGTCGCAATGCTCAATTGTCAACTTCACCCTTCGATATTTGTATCGGAAACGAATCATCTTCCATTTTCCATCATTTACCTTCTCTTCCACTATTAATTCATTCTTCTTGTTATGGCTTGAATTCATACTTAAATGTACTTGGCCATTTTGTAGTGTAAGTGTAAAATGAGGCCCATTCAATCCGTTAATTGGAAATGAGCTCAACAATAAGCCGGCCTGAAATGTAATTAAATGTAAAAGAGATGCAGGCTCGAAGAGATACTTATGGATACTGTCAATTGGTAAACTTTTAATCGATAGAAAAAAAAATTCACCGGATTCAAAGTCCTGAATTCTTGTACTAGCATAAAAATTTGTTGATAAAATGGGAATTGCAATGATGATGAAAAACCATCAAAACATCGAATGTTTAACTGACAATAGCGCCCACTATAACCATCGTAACATTCGCATAAACGTTGCCCATTATTATGCTCAACACATGTTCCTCTGTAAAAGGATATTTTACACAATTCACATAAAATGATTCGTAGAATATCAGAAATATGATATTGGATCATATTCGATTAATTATGTAAGAGTTACACAAAAATGGCTGCAACCTTCCAATATAATCTTTAAATATCGCAATCCTTTCTGATATTGCGATGTTTATTTAAATCAATCAAAAATCTAATTTTTTAATGTGAAATATTTACGATGAGTGTCAGTATATCGCATTGACAAACCTGTGACAATTATTACAAATGTTGCTATTGGAATTATTACAGTGTATCGAATTTTTTGCACCATTATCATCATCATCATCACATGAACAAACAAATGAACCAAACACATTTAGGCATTTTCTATTCCCACAAATATTCTGCAACTAAATCTTACTAAATTTCCTAAAAGCATAATGATTGTAGGAAGAATTCAAGAAATACACTAAACATAGCTATCGGAAAATTAATTTTTAAGCTTATTTTTAGGTATAGCATATTTATGGTAGTTGCTAAAAATTTTTTAGTATTTGCAATAACTGTCAAGAATGCTTAAATATTCCAACAACTAATTTAATTTTAAATTAAATAAAATTAGAATGCAACATTGAGATCAAAACTTCTGTTGAAATTATAGTAGGTTATGAGGCAAATAAGCAAAGATGACCTTTTCCTCACATTCATCGATATCATTCGCACAGAATTTGCCAGTATAACCCTTAGGACACAGACATGTTCCTATATGTGGTTGACAAGTACCGCCATTATGGCATTTTTCATTCTCATCGCAAGCCTGGTTCTCATTATCATTACATACTATATCATTGTCGCATATGCAACTGTAATGTAAAATTAAGATGTAATGTAAAATTAAGATTTAAATTAAGATGATGGATAAGGAAAGATTCTAATTAGTGAAGGTAGCAACAGGTAACAGATACGCTAGCTATCATATACTTTCTCTTTAAAATTGACAATCTCATAAATTTTTGAATCATTCAATATGATTCCATTTATCCTAATATTTTTCCAACGATCAAATTGACTTTCTGAAGATGTGATCATAATTCTACAAAGTAAAAAATTATTGATCAGTTTCATAAAGGAAAACTAACTTTATATGGCTAATAACAAGTGGAATAATATAACTTGTCTTATATCCAATCAATTCGAATAATTCGCCATTTTTCGTGATATTTTGCGAACATTTGGTATTGTACCGACATTGTTGTATGGAAGTGAGAGTACACATATCTGTTGCAAACTGTTTCACTTGCACATTTTTAGAAATCAATTTATCAGCAAAAAATTGTTTCAACAATTTCAACGCATTATCTTTGTTTGTTGGTATCAAGCGCTGATCCAAAATTGTGACGAAAAGACGGAAAAAGTCAACTTCTAAATGCTGCAGACCGAGAAGTTGAAGAATCTATAAAGAGTAAGATAATTAATATACTATATTTCATATTATCTTTTAGATCTCTAAACCATCATACTGATAAAATAAAGAATGAAGGAGGCATATTAATTTTTGAGGAACTTGACAGTAGAATTTGAGAAAATTAAGAGAAAACAATAAAAGTGAATAAATCACTTCAACAGTTTACAATTAATATTGTGTTAATTAATTTATACTATCGTTAGCATAAAAAAAATTTCAACTATTTCTATTTCTCTAATAAAATATGCAAAATGTTTTCTGAAATACTTTGAAATCATTTTCACTGTAACAACTTTTTTCCCAAGTAAATTTTACCATATTTGGAAATGTCTCTTCGAATGCAAAAATACTATCAGCTATACTTCCTTCTACACCCCATAATTCCACGATCACACCAAAATCATTGATTGATGATACTGAAGAAATATCTCGTCGCATTCGTAAATTTATTGGAAATGTTACATTTGTATAACGATGATTGTAAGCTTTCACCAATAATGGAGCATTGAGAAAGTCATCTGCTTCTAGTAAACTTTTTGATAGTTTTAATATGCAATTGTTTGATATCTGCAAACATTGATTATCAGAATAATGTATTTTTAAAAGTATAAATTTTTTTTTACTAAAAATTTTTCTAAAACACACATTAAATGCTTTTGAAGCGTTGAATAGCCGACAATTATATGCGCCAACTTGATCAGTATCAACTGGAAATGTATGTAAGATTATCATGTCCGGAATTTCGTACGAATATCCCAAATATATTGTGCGTGATCCTGATTCTGGTGCATTATCATCCTGATCATCAATGTGAATTCGTAAATGAATAGTTACGTTACGTTGAGGAATATCCAAATCGCTGACCATTATTGGTATAACATAGAGCGAACGTTTTTCACGATCCAAAACCTCAGAACTGGATACTATGCCAGTGGTATCATTAATAGCAAATATCTGCAAACAAATCTATGAATGAGTTCAATCGTTATTTTATTGCAATATTAATTTGCAACATCTTCCTAATATGCATTCAGATTCTATATAAAATATTTCAATCACAAATTTTAGCAGCCAAAAAAGCTACAGAGCCGAAATGCCTTGTTAATTTGAATGAGTGTATGTATCATAGTTCCCGATGAATATTTTCCTATATTGTTATTCTTCTGAAACTTTTTCTTTTCTAAACTGTTTCGATAAATCTGTTCGGAATAATTAAAAACTCTGCAACCGAACTTAAACAATTCACCAGTCTTTGAAATGCTAGTAAAAAAGTTGTAATAACCAATTACCTGAGCTAGATCATTGTCAGCAATTTGATATGTGAACGATGTTTGTTTTCTCGAGATATCACTATCCATTATGTGTAGTTTCATTATTGCTGTATGCATTGGTGAATTCTCTAGGATATAACCAACAGAAGCCTTGGAATCTAATAACAATCCATTATCATTCATCTTATTCATTGTTATTACAACTAGAGCTCGAGAACGTATGATATCATTCTCGGTAAGAGCAATTTGCAAACGATAGTCAGTTTTTTGGTTATAATCCACCAGACCACATAAACGGAGTTTACCGGAATCATCAAAGCAAAATGGCTGAAAAAATTTTTATGGTCTGTATTGAATAAGTCTCACAAAAAATCTATTCCCTATCATATCATCAATTTTTCCAAACAATAACTTTTAAAAGATCAATAATTTGCACCTTAAAACAATCCAATATTAAATCCTCTTTTAAATTTAAATCTTCAATTTTGAATCTTGCATAAATCAAATAATGATGAAATACGAAAGAGACGAAAATTTTTACTTTACCTGTTCAATATTATATCCAATTCCTTCTTCAACAATATCAAGGCGACATTTCCGTGGCAGATGCTCAAGAATAATGAAACTTGTTGAGCTATCAGCATATTCGGATAATGAAAATTTATAATGAGACTGTAATATTGGAAGTGCTTCCATATTCATTCGTTTGATATACACAATACAACTATAATAAATTATTGCAAGAAAATTTCATTTCAATGCAATATTCAGAAACTAATATGAATTTCAAATAAGTTATTAATAAAATTTAAATAACCGTTCCTGATAATTTCTAGTAACTAACACATTTGGTTTAAAATCTTTTCGCGAAAGTTGATCAGTTGCAACAATCTGCATCATTATAGTATCAGTAGTCCCATTCCAAGTTTTCTTCACATATATTTCTCCTGTATGATAATTTATGTCCACCAGATCATTTGAAGCTATACGATATAAAATTTTATTGCAATAATTTGTACTCCGACAAATTGCTTCAACTCTGCCAATTATGGTACCTAAATAGAATTTACTAACTCATTTATAGTTAATTGACTAATTCGATGATTTGACGATTACATTTTTTTATTGCAATGAGAAGAATCAGCAATATGATGATTAGGTTGGAAGTAACTTTTTCATCGACTAATCACAATCTTCGTTTGAACAAATAATTGCTTGAATTTTAAATTTGAAATACCTTTGAGGGCAGATGCACTGATCTCAAAATTTCGTTCGGTTTCTGGAAAATACAGCTCAGATTTCTCATCTGGTTTCAAGAAAATTTCAACTTGTAGGACATTAGAATATGTCCCGTTTGATGAATTTTCTGGAATCAATTCTGAATATTCCGAATTTGCGGTTCTGGGATTAGTGGCCAGTACGCGAAATAAATATTCATTAGCTGTTTCATAATGAAATTCAGCGGATACGTATAATGTGCCAAGTGTAGCATTTACAGCAAAAGGTAATTGTCCAGCAGAATCCGAAAGTAAATGGTAAACGATAAGAGCGTTTGGTTCTGAATCAACATCAACAGCAGAAAGATGCGCAATTATCGTACCTACGGGTGAATTTGTCGATATCTGAAATGATCGTTGATCATAAATCATTCGAATAACCAGAGCGGAATATGCTATGAAATATGATAATACTCAAGACAATCCAAGATCTTCTGAAAAATTTAATGTTGAAGTATTATTAACTGATTGGATGTGAAATAAAGCGGAAATATTAAAAAATATAGAAATACCGTATATTGCAAATAACGATTTTCAAATTCGGGCACATTATCGTTCTCATCGATTACTTCAACAATAACTTCTGCAATATCGCTGAGTGCGAGGAAACCGGAATCTGTTGCTGTTATTAAAAAATGATAGCTACTGGTTTCCTCGAAATCGACGGGTCCCGATGTTAGTATGGTTCCTAAACCTCCTCTGGATAAAATCTTTTGACGTGAAATTATTTAACATATTCTACAAACATATTCTACAAATAAACAACAAATAAGATCTAAAATTAACTGCCTAGTTGAAAGACAATTCGAAAAATTTATCTCCTACACTACCTAGTGTTATTTGGTATTAATTAGATTAATTAAAACATAAATTAGAAATCTCAAATAAGAAAGTTGAAAATGAAACCTGTTGTTGATTCAATTGTAAACGGTAAATGGTCTTTATCATAAATGATATGATAAGTCACATGACCGTTAAGACCTACGTCGGAATCTTCCGCCATAACCGTGCCAACTGGTGTATGCAGATGGCAGTTCTCTCGAACCGAAAATTTATACCTGAAATAATCAAATCACTAGTTTTGTTCTTCCAGATTGTTATCAATGTTATAAAAAATAGATTTCACTGATATACTTTCTGACCGTAGCAAATCATACAACCGATGCATATCTTTCACAACAAACAGATATTGTTGACATATAATTACTCGAAAACAGAATTACCGATCAATTTATATAGCTTAATTACACCGTTCATTAGTCATCAGAACGAGAAAATTTTCCTGAATACTCACGGAAAATTTAATTATCAAAAATTGCATATCTTCCAAAAGTTGCGGGGATAATTTTCAGCGTTTCCTATAATTTACCTTTCAAATGAAAATTGTGGGTGATAAATGTTTGATTTAGTAAATTCAATTGAAACAATAATCTCCATAGGATCGTTCTTATTGCATGTTGCAACTGAGAAAATAATTTTATGTCCCAATATAGCTTCCGGAAACATAACGTTTGTGAATAGAGTACCATTCTGATCAATCGTAAATCGGCTATCATTCACTACGGCAATTGTCTTAAATTTTCAAAAACAAATTAAAGTACAATAAGATATAGAATTGAATAAATTAACGAAGAATTCGAGAAAAAATTAGTTGCTAAAAATTTGGCGAATCAACAACTAACATCATGTAACAGTAAATGACCAATTTCTGTGCCGGGATCAGCATCAGGAAGAAGTGCGAACTCGTAGTAAGATTGCTTCGTTTCATTGCTTTCATCAGAATCAATAATGCGAATATAGACAATGGCCTGAAATAGTCCGTTTTTAGTTGATAGTTCCATTATTTCAAATATCAAAAATGACTCACCTCATTGATCATTGATGGAAATCCTTGATCTCTAGCAAAGCCTTTACATTCCACGGTATAATTCACATACTCCTCTAAGGCAGTTATTGAAAATATACGCCCACTGGTTGGCTCGATCATAAATAAATCACTTCCACATCGCAAATCATAGCGAATTTGACCATTTAATCCTTCATCCGCATCAAATGCCAAAATTCGTCCAATTTCAGTAAAAATTTTCTGTAAACTTCCAGAATGAAAAAATTTTTTGAATAACTGAAAGTTCTCAATGACCTGAAATTTCTAAAATCATTCATTAACTTCATTAATTTTTAACTTTTGCATATCTTTCGTAGGCTTTATCATCGCTTAAATAAGAATTGATATAAGAAGTTCGAAATTTTGTATATCTTACTGAATTGGCTGCAACTAAAAATTTGTAAAATAAATGGTCGAACATGGGAGTATTATCATTAACATCTTCGATTGTAATGATTATCGATGTTCGCACTTCCCATAGGCCATCCCATACTTTTACTTTCATCGAATATTCCTTTTTCTATAAGATATTTCGAGATTTCAACATCATCCCACAAAAGAAAAGTTTTTAAGAACAAATTTCAAACAGTATCTTTAATTGCGATAATAAGTGCCTTTCCTTTTTTGTTTAAATAACGCTTTATTTGATAGAGATAATTTATTCAATTTATGAAGCTTATTTATAAGGCTTTTCCCTATAAGCTATTTTAATCAAATAAAGGAAAAATGTTCTATTTCTTACTTTTTCTCGATCAACTTCTTCTGCCAGACTAATCCAACCAGTTTGTTGATCAATCAAGAATTTATCAGTATTGTTACCTTCCAATTCATAGATAAGAGTACTGTTTATATCGGCATCATAACTTGTCACCTGTAGATTTTGATTTTTGGTGACAATCTGATAATTAAAAATAAAACAAAATTATAATAAATACGATTAAACGATCTCACCTGAAGTATTAGTGTCCCCAAGGGACTGTTTTCTGTAACTGCACCATGGAATAAGTTTGAAAAACGCGGTGAGTTGTCGTTCTTATCCAATACTTCAATCTAATGATAGAAATTAATTGTAATTAATTGGTCATATATTTATTCACTCGTTTAGCATTTGCTTGTATTTTATTCATGTAATTATCGTTAGAAATATAATAGCATAAGAATTTCATTAATAATTTTAAATTACAATCCATATAGAAGGTATAGGTCATAGCTTAATTGACTAAATCATTTTGATTAAGTGTTGGAAATTTTGTTCAATTTAATAAGAAGAAAAAGCGCTTCTGTAAGGTGGATTAAGAAAAACGGATTGGAAATGGTCAGTCGGACGGTCATCCGGTCATTAAATCACTTAATTGACTGTCTATTCATTCAGTCTGCAAATTCATGAGAAATTATAATTCGTAAATTTATAAAAAGAAAAACCAAAACCAAGCGAAACCTTTACAACCACCATTTCCGACAATTGTGGATTGCCATGATCCTTCGCCATGACATGCAAATGATATCTCCTCAAATGTTCGGCATCCAAACTAGAAATAGTAAAAACTTCTCCTGATTCTTCATTAATTTTGAAATATTTCCATGCATCTGAATCATCAGCCATCAAGCTATATGAAATTTTCCCATTAATTCCGGAATCAGGATCTCGGGCGACAACTTTCACTATCAATTCACCGCTATCACCATTTTCTGTTACTGAAGCAGAATAGAAAGCCTGGAATAGAGTTATTTTTTAAATTTGAAAATGAATAAAAGATGCAAAATGTTATTGTTGTAAAGAAGATATGATTTCGAATGTGAACCTTAGGCTCTTAGGACTTCATTCGTATCTCCAACATATTCAAAAGAAATAAAAACTTATATTCCCCAGATTTCTATTAAAAATGAATAATTAGAAACCTTTTTGAAGAAAGGTCTGTTGTCATTGATGTCTACAACATTCACAATGCAGTTTGTATATGAAACCATGGGTTGGGCATGTTGATCAATTGCAGCAATCCATAATTCGTATTGCTTTCGATATTCATAATCTACTCCATTCCTTAAATTTCAATTAAAGATATTTTTGAAATAAACTTTCCCACGTTGATCGAATCGAGGTATCAGTTTATAAATATGGTAATTAAAACTAGCAAAAATTTTACGACAATAATTACAATTTGTTATCCTGATAAGCGTCATCTTTCAAGTAAATATATGACAAATAAATTGTAAATTATTTTCTCCAATAATTAAAACTTGTTTAATGCAACAAAACAGTAGCCTTATTTAATCCAAACAATAAACCTAAAGACATACGTTGTATACAATTCGCCAGAATTAGGATTTAAATAAAAATGATGGTACGGATCACCGCTGAAGATCGAAAATAATATTCCTCGGTTAGATACATTAACTGATTGGGCGACAAATTTTGTTATCAATATGTCTGACTCATGTTCTGTTACCACAAATTCTTGCTGTGGATGTTTCTGGAAATGTACAAAAGTGGATGAAAGCACTGAAGCTATGTTTCAAATAATAAAAATTTATATAAACTATAACAAGCACTAAAATATCTTTAAAAAAACATGGATCCCATAAAACGGCAGATCTTCAGAATTCATTGAAGCTTAGATACTAAAATATCATCAACTTAATGATTAATTAACGATGTCGAAATTGTTATAAATAATTCCCGAAAGGTGTTGAAATAAATATACGCAAATAGCGCATATGAAACCGGGGGAAAAGAAAACACACAAAAAAGTTCGTAATATGTTATTGAATGAAAGTTTTTGTGAACATCTTGCTAACTTCACTGACTACCTTAAAAATCGGAAATCTCATAATATCGGTCACGTAAAATCCCAATTCAACGGATGAATTTAAATTGCCATGATCAGAAACAATTGCAGTAATTGAATAATCTCGCTTGAGAAGCTCTTGCGTAGCAATGATAATACCACTTCGGTTAATTTGGAAATATGACATATCCGGACCACTTAGATTGTAGTAGAGGATATCATTTTCATCCGGATCATATGCTGACAATACGTACACTACATCATCTGAAATAATGAAGTAATTTATTTATCTTATCGGAAAATGGCTAAAGGATAATATTCTTTTATAAATCGCTTGGATTTATAATTTTAGAAGAAAATTTTCTAAATTTCGATTTGAAATATTCATAAATCCAATGATAGTAATATTCATTTTATTTTATTCATTCTTCTTTTTCCTCTTTTCCTATCCGAATATAACATTTAAGAAATTTTTAAAAATTTTCCGTTCTATTTTGGAGCTATGGGATAATGATCGATTCTGATCGATTCAGCTGACTACTTAGAAAATAGTATTACATCGATTTATCATTCAACTGTAAGTTATTGAAAATCATTTCAATCACTTCGATCACAGGCATTACAAACAGCACTTTTTTATTTTAATTTCTCAGGCTCAGATTAAACAAAAAACCTTAGAGTGAGGAAGTTCTTAATCCCAAATCCTCACCTTAATATTGTTCAGTGAATTAAATTTCTAAAGTAGCCATCTCTCCTTTCTGCATCTGTTAAATCACATACCTTCTTTAACATCATTTGGAATGAAGACATCAAGTTGTTCATTGAGAATGGTAGGTACATTATCATTCTGATCCAGAACTCGAATTCGTATTACTGCAGTACTTGAATGTTCCACAAATTTACCATTGTCATGAGCTACTGCTTTTAAAATCCACAGCGATTGAGATTCACGATCCAACACTTCCGATCTTCCTATACATCCTGTTGTTGAGTTAATGAAGAATGGTAACAAGTCTGCATCGTTAAGGTTGTACCTGTAATCATGAAAAATTCGCTTAATCTAAATCAAATTTATATTTTCTGGTTGTTTTGATTTATTTCAATAAACTTCAGGTACCTTATAAACAAATTATTTAGTGATAAATGACAAGTGATATGGTAATATGGCGATAGTTCTAAAAGAAATTCGAAACATAGTTAGACTAAAGTAATGCGAAATGTGGCATTTTAAAAGTATTACATATTTTTTAAAATGGTTTATATTATATGTAATTTAAAAGCTTCCTCACCTTATCATCGAGAATTCTCGGTCATCTTCATCCACTGCTTTTAGACACAATAACGTTAAATTCTCTTCAACAGGCTCATTTTCCATCACTTCAATATAGTACTGAGGTTGTTCGAAAACTGGTGCATTATCATTTACATCCAGTACGACTACGATAACAGTATTCGTTGTACTGAAGCGTTTTGGAACAGTAAGGTCACTTGCTTGGAAAACCAATTCATAACGGTCTTGTATTTCGTAATTTAACGGTTCTGTGATTTGTAGCTTTCCTGTTTGTGGTACTATCCGAAATAGCGTGCTGTTACCCTTAAAAGATATTATGAACTTTTATTCGATCGATGGAGAATAGAAAAACACCTAAAAGAGATGGATCGTATACTTTGAAACATTGTAAATTTGCTTCCCTTTTCACTGCCTTCTTCCATCTTTAATGACAGTTGTTATATTTTGTAACTGTTATTCGTTTTAACTAACTTACTGCTTTAATCCAAACGATCCTATTTCAACAATGATATTATCAAGAATGCAAAAAAGAAGACCTGAATAAGTGAGTAAGACAATCCATTTAGTTCTGAATCTGCACTGGTAGATTTCAATGTTCCAATAGTAATCGGATATGATCCTTGTATATTTTCACCAACATAAAATATCCTGTCAACATGGCCAGGAAATCGAGTATTTTTAACATCGACATTTAAAATTTCAATCAAAATGATGCTGAAATGAGTCTTTTGCATTTAAAATCAACTACTTCATTTTTATGGAAAGCCAAGGTGATGATATTAATTAAGTGCTGATCCATTTCACTTTAATTTGACGTAACGCGTTTTTTTCAGAGCTAGAAAAGGAGGCGCAGAATTTATTACTCTCATTAACTGATCGACAGTTCCGCATTTAATTGTTTTTAGTCTAATCAACTTTTAGTTTACCTATTTTATAAAAATTCAGCAATATCTATTGTCACGATCATTATTTCAATGAAAGTAGTAATTTCCAGCAATTTCCGTAAAATCTTTGACAAATATTCGGATTGTCCTAATGATTAGTGGAACGTCCATCTGGTCAAATTTTGCTTGGATATCGCAAGGATTTAGTCAAGCTACCATAATACTAAAAACACATGTTTAAAAAAGTTTTTTCACAAGAATTTAAACCTGCTCTGTTTTCTTGTGCTATTGTATGATCGCATCGAAACAGTTAAGTTGTAACTTGATTTTTTGGCAGCATTTAAACGTTCGTTTGTCGTAATTGTTCCATTTATGGAAGATATTCGAAAATGCTGGTCCTCATTTCCGGATTCAATTTCAAACAGAACATTTGTTGCATTGTCCTTAAACAAAGAATGCTTACTTCGAACGATAGTAAAAAGAAAGATGATGGAAAAGAAATGATTGATCGATTTGAAAAACAAACAAGCACATTTTCAGGTTTTCTTGAAATTTCATTTATCTTTCATAATTATTGGAAGGGAATTGCAACGATGAATAGATTCAGATGGGATCTTATATCTTCAAAAAGTAAAATGTTTGCACCCTAAAGATAATTGAATTTTATTCAAACATACAGTAATAATCTGTGATACAGTATAGCCAACTGGAACATTCTCCAAAATCTTTGCATGGTAAAAATTTCTCAATCTCCTTAATTTTTTGTTACGAGGTAGTGCTGTCACAGTTATTGAAACAATTGTCGATAATCTTTTTGAAGTACCGTAATCTTTCGCTTCAACTAGCAAATGATAATCTGTTTGTTCTTCAACATCAATTTGTTCATGTACCTGAGAAAAATTGATTGGTTGGTTTATTGAAAATTTAAAGCTTTTGAGATTTATCATTTTAAGATTTATCTGTTACATTGATAATTGGTACCACTTTACCTTACTACTTCTTTGTTCTAATTTAAACATTCCCGGCTATGTTTAATAATTTTTTAGCAGATAAAATGATAACATTTATTTCAGAATTTCAACTGAGTTGATTTGATTTCATGAAGCTGTCAATAAATTCATTCATTGCAGCGTAATTAGTTCTAATTTTGATAAGTTATCAAAATATTATGATATGCAAAATTTAAAAATTTATGCAAAATTTATGCAAACAATAAAAATGGTAAATTCACAGTACCAGCAAATATCCAAGGATTGGATTTATCATAAAATGACCTTCTGGATTTGACCACGGTAAAATGCGGTATTGTAATTGCCCATTATGATCCAGGTCAGGATCGATAGCATGAACTAGGCCAACGATGGTACCTGATGTTGCTGCCTCGAAAATATAAAACTCAGATGGTGAAATGAACCGTGGCGCATTATCATTTACGTCCAAAACTATTACTTTTACTATTGTTGTTGCCTTGAATGCTAAAATATAAAATTATATTCAGCAATCAAATTTAACTAACTCTTATCTATTTTTGGGTAATTAGAGAATTTAGAATCGAAATTTTAATTGATCAAAAATATTAGCTGTTGAAGTTAACGGTTAATCTTGAATGTTTCATCATGTTACTACAGATTTAATCGTTTATTATAATTGAAAGTTAAAATCATAATTAAACATAACAATATTATATTTCTTATTAAATTAATCTAGCACAAAAATCATTCACCTTTTTCTGGCAGTCTTTGATCATAAACAGTAATGTGTAATTGATGAACGGCTATATGTTCTCGATCAAGAGGTGCTGTGAGAATAATTCGCCCATCACTTTTAATTCCAAACCAATTTCCTTCATTACCAATTACGGAAATTTCGTAAACAAATTCGTTTACTGAAGAATTTGAAATTAAAACTAAGGAATGAAATAAAAGATGAAATTGAAGCAATATAAAAAAAAAAAGACAAATTAAGCGATAAATTTTGAGTACCATTTCATGAAGGAATAATATAAATTGGTACTTATTGTTGCTTCAAGAAACTAACCAGTATCCAAATCATCAACGTCAAGTTGAAGAATTAATTGACCGATCGGAGCATCTTCGTAAACTTTGACTTCATAGCTATTTGATACAAATTTTGGTGCATTATCGTTATTGTCGATAATATGTAGAAAAATGTGGCATTCCATCGATGTACCTTGTTTTTCATAAGCGATCGCTTTGAACTGATAAAGATTTTCCTAGAAATCATTTTTAGATTTAAAATTAAAACTTGATTTATTACTAATTAAGAGATTGCTTCATTTTTTACTTCTAATTATAAAATCAAATTATAAACGATATACTTTTTCAAAATCAAACGGTGCAGTGGTACTTATAATTCCACTATTAGTGTCTATCGATATAGCTTCCGGATGTTCTCGAAGTGTATAGCGGGTAAGATTATTATGTCTTGCTGTTAGAATACCAACAAACGTTCCGGATGGCGAATTTTCAAGCACCATTAAATGAATGTGGCTTCGGAAACAGAACTCTTCGCTGTTATATGCTTGTACAACGATAATGAGTACAGTGACTAATTTGAATATTTCGTTGTAATCTCGATTTGTAATCCTAATATCCAGGTATGTTTCAGATATCTATAATTGCTATTAATTAAAAAATTCATTTTATTTAACAGATCATTAAATTATTGATCGTTTTATGGTTATCAACTTAAGCACCCACCTGCACCTCCTTTTTTATCTTAATTACTCCATTTTCTTTGTCAATTTCAAAATTATCATTCTCATTGAGCAATTCAAATTTGAATGTTTTATCATTGCCAATTCTTCCGACAGTAAATCCCACTGGCATTCCTTCCTTTATCGTAAATTCATAATACGAACGAAACTGATCAATCCTCCTTTCTTCGTCTATTACTAACAGATCGATCTGAAACATTATCTGATATAAGCTTTGAGAAATTTCCATACCTATCACAAATTGATTGTTTTATAATCTCCAAATATATTTTGGAAGAAGTTTGAAATTCAACTGAAATATTTTGAAATTTACTACATATAGTAAATTACTACATATAGCATTTTGAATATTTCAATTTTTTTTCAAACTTCATAAAAGTCAAAAATGAAGCCTACTCCTTGCAGCTATCCTTCATTTTTTCCATACATAAAATATGCCTTATTGACCTTGATTTATTTCTGAATGAAAAATTTATCATTATCGAAGGCATAATTTGTGTTCAATAAATATCATTTCCTCAAATCTTCTCTTACCGTACTCATACACATCTGTTTGATATATTTCCATAACAACAAAATTATAATCGTTTTTGGACAAGATGATTATCATACGAATAAATTGTTTTTTCTTTTCTTTGAATGAAAATTATACTTGAATTTCGAATTGCTCTGTTCGTTTAAAGTAATTCCGAAGTGTAACAGAAGAGGAAAAAGTGAATGGACATTATTTGATGACACCCATTTATTGTGATCGATTTTAAATCAATAAAAAATGCCCTCATATAATATAATATGTTTTAAATCAATTTTTTTTCTTATTCAAGCAAATTAATTTCTAATTTGAGTGTCAATGTTATAGGAAGAGATATTGACAGATATCATAATATTTCTCTAATTAGATTTTTCGCCATTTTCGAAAACGAACAGAAAGGATTGGATGAGAGAGAATGTCATCTTTCTCTCACATAAATATTTGATGATTTATTGTCCTTAAAATCTGTATAATTTAGCAATTAAATAAATTTAATTGGAATATTTGTTGAATGAAATTTTCGATCAGATGAAAGATAACAATAAGTATCGGCAATTGGCTTGTGTAATAAAAACTTATCGCAATTATTCGCAATTTGGCTCACTTACGCCTCATTAATTGAATGGTTAATTTCTTTTTGAAATTATTTCGTTTTCTTTAATAGCAATTTTGTCATATCAAAGATGACAATAAAGATTGCTCAATGTGTTTTTAGACATTTCTTTGTTGCAGAAATATAGAATGAATGAGATGATGAAGAAATGATCACAATTAAATCTATTAATTTTTAGTTTCTTTTTTTTTTAAATTTCACCAATTTGCAAATTCAAGGTAAATATTTAAAGGATAATGAGATATTCATTAATAGTATTACTTCAGAATAAATAAAAGAATGTGGGATTGAAATTTTTCATGGTAAATTTTATCTTCCAAAAGAGGCCATTTATATTAAATGTTAATCAAAACTTGATAGTTATCATTTACTGATAAGTATTGATTTCTCAAAGTCTTTCATTTCAAAAAAAGAAGTTAAGACGGATTGATTTCTTGTTCCAATTTATTTCACCAATTCAAAGGGTCCATTAAACCGAGCAAATGAATCATTACAGTGTAGATTGATTATATTTTCCCTCAAACAAATTTCTCGCACTGACCTTTCTACTTGTTCACAGTAATATAATTACCCTTACCATTCATTCCTCTTACCAAACCTCAACAACTCTTAATTTGTTATAGTAATTGTTTGTTATTATTTTCATACATGCATCCAAATTCCTGAATGATAACAAATGTAATTATGGAAAACAGACAAATGTATGGACAGAGGTCATGATGAAGTTTAAAGATCAAATGAGGAAATACACTATTTATGTTATTTCAAGTAGTCGTATAAATGATTGGGTTGATAATAGCTATTATTAGTTAGACTGTCAAGAAGAAATGAAATGATAAATAAAAAATGAACGTATTTTGATATTACAAAGTTTCTACATTTTCAGTATTTCTGAGCAGAAAAGAAAAACGAAGTTAATTTCTTTTCCTTACCTTAATTATAATATTTATTGAAAGCTCAACTTCTACAGTCCCGATTTACCTTTAAAAAAATCCTCAATGATCGATCAATAGACAATAGAAAGTGTATGGATTGTAAAGAGATGGAATTTTATTCAACAAGGAAATTCAACAAGGATGTCGAAAATTCAACAAGGATGTCAAAAAAGAAATTGAAATGTTACTTTCAATTATTTTCATTACTATTTTCCACTCTCTAATAAATCATATCTCTGCAACACTTTCATAATTAAACACAATTAATTCTCTTACTGATAATGAATAATGAATTGAACTGTTTCTGATTATTAATTAATTAAATTTTAAATGAAATCTTTTAAATAAAAATAGATAAAATAAGCGAAATATATTTAATTTTTATTTCTTTCCTATTCTTACTTTTCTATACCATAATTGCATAAAATAAATTTTAAATCATTTTTCCAATTATTAGTCTTCAGAGAAAATCTTTAAGGTAAAAAGAATTATCAACTAAGTTTTAAACCTTAATTTTAGGTTTTAAGATATGGGATAGATAAGGTATCAAAATATTATGAATAAAACTTCATACAAATGTGTATCCGTACCTGATCATGAAAGATTAATTAAATTTTAAACTTAATCAAATCACTAATACTTTTGGTTTCAATAAATTTTTGCAAGTGAAATATGTTATGCTTGATCTTCTAGCATTGAAACACTGAATAAGTTCTGTAATTTATTCATTGGTTCTCTTTATAATGTTATTTTAGCATTACAGTATAAATTTTAATACAGATCATTTAAAGCTAAATGAAAATTTGAAACAAATGCTTTTAAGCTTCAAATAGATGTTAATGTTAATTACAACTAGCAGCATTATATGCTTGAGTAAATATTATAGGAATAGAATACTCTTGCAATATAATTAAGATTGATCAATTAAAAGTTATATTTTATTTTTAGATATAAACTTCCCCTAAGATATTTTCTCTCGAATTTTTCATTCTTTGAAACCTTTAGGATAAACAGATTTTATGGAATTACTGGGATAATAAAGAATTTTTTTTTAAATCTGATAACAGGTGCTTTCTAACAGGTGCTTTAGATTTCACGACTGAATGATTCAAAATGAACACGAAATAAAAGCGTCAAAGAAGACAATTGACGGAAGTGAGACCTATAATTAATCTTATCGTACCGCTATACAAAGGATATGATTTCATTTCGCTTTTATAATAAATCTTCGTTGGATAACTACAAATTTGACCATATCGAAATCCAAAATCAATTATTATAACTTTCTACTTATTATTAGCTTTTGTTGAATTAATGATTTTTCAATTGTTTTATTTTATATTTCAAAATTAGCATAAATTCAAACAGACTTTCTTTCTCATTTTATTTCATACAGATAAGTACATATACATTTTTTTGTTGAAATTCTCTTTTCATTCCTATTACTATAAGTGTTGAGCGAACAATTAGTCTGACCAATAAGTGGATAGCGAAATATGAGATCCATCGGATTACTTCAATACAAATAGTTGCAACTTGACCAGGTACTCTATAGGTCAGTATATTATTGATGACGAATATATGCTTGAAATAAATGTGAAATGTTGAAATGCTATTAAAATGAATGAAAAGAGGAAAACAGAGAATGATTTAAATTATTATGAAAAAGAATGAAAAAGGAAGAGGGAAGAAAATAGCGGAAGAAATATAAATTAATTAGAAATTAATATCTAAAAATGATTAAGCAAAATTAAATCCATTATTTTAAAATTAATTTTTTAAAAAATTGTTTTCTCAAAATTTTTGCTTTTCATTTTTTTTTTTATTTATCTAAAAATTAATTACTTATTGTTTTAAAAAAATTTAGATAACAATTTATTTTAAAACTTAATTGTTTAGTTGATATATTTATTTATAAGTATAATATAAATTTAGCGATTATCCGACTTGGACAAATTTTTGATAATTTTATTAAAAATTCTATAAATTTAATTGCTCTTATTTGATAAATTAAATGACCCCCCACAGAGAGGAAGTTTGTGAGGTATGTTAATATCCATGAATGGTTTACATCCACTGATTTTTCAATATTCGCTGTACCCTATAAAGGTACACTGCAGAGGTTATTGCCGAATAAATGATGAATGTCAACCCCTCAACACTTCAATCATCATCAGATGTCCTCACATATACAATTGAAGAACAAATACATCAAATGACAAAATCAACAAACCGCATTCTGCAAACACATGCATGATTGAACAGTTCGCAATGATGAATAATGGATGACAAGGCTTGTAACAAATTTACATTTGTATATAAATGATACCTGCTTTGAAGGGCTTTTTAAATATGCATTACTGCACCTATTGATCTCAGTTAAGTTAAGGTAAACAACAAAAGCCAAAGATAAATCGAGGAAGCAAATATTGACTGTGAATTTATGAGCAGAATGTGTTGTTAAGTTAATCATACAATTTTAAATCAATTTCAAATATACACTTCAGCAAAATTTTCTTCAGAGTAAAAGTTATGAGACTAAAGTGAGATATAATCTGTCATGAACAGTGAAAGTCTTTTACAAATATTCATTTTACCATTTAATTTGAAATTTAATTCGCTACAGTTATTTCTTGGAAGATTTATATAACAAAAGTAAAACTTACTGTAATTGTCTTGGTGAATCTTTCTGACAATAGCGTGATTTCCATATTTATTAGATGAGTATCTGGTTTCTGATTAATGCGCAATTGTCCAGTTCGACGATCAATATCAGCCCATTGCATACTATTCATATGTTGTTCATTTTTAAACGAAGTTATAAAATATTCAACTGTAGCACCAGTTTTCGCTATTACAGTACCAAACATCATGCCAGGTTGAATATTTCGATTAAGGCGATACTGCTTCTCAAATTCAATCGGTGCTTCTAATCTTGGATTATTTGGGATCAAAATGTAACGAAGCTCAATGCTTTTGCTCAACTTATCATCTTCTTCAGGTCTGAAATATTTTACTGAAAAAGCCTTCGGAAGAAAAACATTTGACGGACAAAGGAGAATTCAGAAGGCTGGTATCACTCATCAAATTCACTCGTAACCTCAACTTTACATCTCATGTTGATTAATTTCAAGAAACCCTTGTATATGAACTTACCCATTGTTAGTATTTCGATCGTAAACCAATACGGAAAAATATTTCGGATCACCTATGAAAGGCTTAACCATGAAACCATTATCATTTATGTCCGAAATAATTTCTTCGCTTCTCATAATTTTATAACCAATTGTTCCATTCAAACCAGCATCCTTGTCTGAACAATTCCATGGAACGAATGATGATGACTCAGATTCAACTAATATTGCTTTAGTTCCAAAGCATTCTGGCGAATTATCATTTTCATCATCCACATGAATTAAAATGACTCTCAGCTTCAAACCATGATTTTCAGCAACAACTAAACGATACAAATTGACTTGTTCACGATCCAGCATTTCCATACAAATTAAATTTTGCTCTTGAAGGCGAAAGGTATTCCCAGGCGGTATTTGTCGCAATAGTTGCAAATCTTCTCCTAATGATTCGATTTTGCCACATATTTCATCAACATTATTGTTTTCCTGAAAATATTTAATTAATGCAAGAATTTAGAAAGTTCAGGTAAAAATTTTGAATCCTATCAGAAATTTAATATTTAAAGGAATTGAATAAATAAAACGATCAGTCGATATTGCGATAAAGGAAATAAATAATCAAAGAAAGATTAAAATCACCTGAACATGAATCGTAATCGTATCTGTACCCGAATTTCCATTCTTTTTATTCATTACCATAATTCCAAAAGTTACACTATTAGAAGTTGATATCGTTTCAGCTTTAATTATTAATTCAATTCGTTGTCCAACATATGCATTCAGATGTTTCGTTAAAAATATATTCCCATCAATAGAATCAATCCAAAATAATTCGAAATTGTTATTAGTATGGTAAATTGAATGACCATAACTTAATGAATATGATACTTCTGCTCCGCATGCTACAGCATGTATTTGAGTAACTATTTGTCCAAGTAAGCTATCATCAATTTCAATGTCAGTATTTGGATAACTCGTAAAATTAGGTATGCAATCTTTTTCTGTATCAGTGTGAATGAAAACGAATGTGGCACTAGAAAGTGGTGGAATGCCTTTATCTGTTGCTATCACGGTGATATTATAGATGTGATTTGGTACAATTGAATTAATTCGTGTGATATCACCGGTGCTTTCATTAATCTGAAAATAGCAAGAATTTTCGATGAGGAAAATGTTGAAATTCAGGCTTATGATCAGATTCAAATTTCAATTAATTTAATCTTGCCGAACCAATTAAATTAATTATGAATCAAAATGATTAGAAATTGAGAGTGAAATTAAAAAATAATTAAGAAAGAATATAGTTTAAAAAATTTTTCAAAATTAAATAACCTTAAATGGAGTCCATTTTTGTTTTAATTTATATCTAATTTCACCATTTAATTTAGAATCCAAATCTTGTGCCAATACTTTACCAATAAAACTATCGTTTGCATTTGATGAGATATAGAAATGATAAAATTCCTGCTCCCAATACGGTATATTATCATTTAAATCTTCCACTTCAATTACTATCGTACATTTTGTTTCCAACAATCCTCCATCCGTAACAATTACGGTTAAATTATGAAACTGAGCCAATTCGAAATCCAATAACAGCAATGCTCGAATCTGATATTTTATCATTTTGAAAATTTTAGAAACTCTTCCAGCGATATCTGGCAATAAGAAATAAAATATAAAATAGTTTTATTTTTGAAATTTTAACAAAAATTCATTGCTATAATTTTGTATATTATTATAAATAGGGAAAATAGCTCAGTAAAATGATGTTTATCATACAAAAGAAAAGTTAATTGTCTTAAATTAGTTAATTAATTGAAAATCATACAATTCCAGTGCGTGAATCAATGTGAAATATTTCCTTGCCATCGTATGTTAATTCATAAAACAATGTTCCATTTAAATTGCTATCATCATCAATTCCATTGAAAAGTCCCACAATTGCACCAGGAATGTTATTTTCGGGAATGATAAATTTATTATTCCCGGGACATTGCGGTGAATTATCATTAGTATCCTAGAATTGTAAATTTATTTTTATTAAGTAAATCAGCTAACACTTCATAATAATAACTTCTATGTAAAATCTGAAATGCAGTTTGTTTAAAAAAGCCCTCATTCCTGCTTAATTTATTAGTCAATCAAAAAAGCTTTCATTCGTGCTTAATTTATTAGTGAAATTTTAAAGCCCATCTAATTTTAATGAATTAATTTTATGGTTTAGAAGAATCATTCGTATTTACGAATTCCGAATTTTTTGCAAATCCAAAAAGAGAAAATATTTGAAAGAAAAAAACTGGAGAGAGTTAGAATTTCACCTCTATGTAGAGTTGAAGTAGGAATTCGTGCTTGCTTGAAATTGAATTTTTATCTAAATTGAAAGCAGCAACAGAAATTGATAGATAATTCATAATTTCGTAATCGATCTTTGATGCAACGATAACTTCACCAGATGGAAGAATTTTAATCGGATAGTTTGTTGTAATTCCAAATGTTTGAAATTCAAAACGTTGGGTTATATTTTTAGGTAATAAATTGGTTATGATTTTTCCCAAAGGTATATTTTCTGGTATCGATAATGTAATTATTGGAGGAAATGAATAGATCTGCAAGAAAAATTGGTAATATTTTTAGTTCAAATTGATTTGACCATAACTAAAAATTTTACAGAGATCTTATCACACATAACTTAAAGTGATAAGAGATTTATATACTGTTGCAGAAAGAAAATGCATCAAAAGAGATAGAATTGCTTAGTCTTATCTTTAGTATCCAACATTAATTAAGTAATGCGCAAATATTAAAATTCATGAATATATATGAGAAATTGAAGGATGAGGGATAAGTAATTTTAAGTTATGATGAACTGATTATCAGTTGGAGATAAGCTTATCTGATTATTATAAATTTCCTTTTAGTAAATTAAACAAATTTTTGCATGCATACTAAACTGTATCACCGAAATTGCAGGAAAAATGCGATAAAAAAATCGATGATTAGAAAATTTGATAAAATTATAATTGTCCTACGATGAGGAAAAATTTAAAAAAAAATAAATATACCATTTAATTTTGAAAAACTTACTATTTCATCTTCTTTGATTTCTACCACAACTCTAATTGTACTATGTCTTGATTGTTCACCGCCATCAGTTGCTGTCACATGAAATTGCAATTGATTTAAACCATTCGGAAATTTCATCAACCGTACAATACCTGTTTTTGAATCAATGCCGAAGAAGCTACTGTTAACAGTGTAGGTGATATGACCATTTTCACCATCGTCTGGATCATTACATCGCAATCGAAGCAATTCTGCACCAATTCCTATCAAATGAGAATCAATAACAAACTGAGCTGTTCCATTAAGCTCAAAGATCGGAGAATTATCATTCTGATCAAGAATAGTTAATGTTCCTTCATGCATTCCAGTTGACCATTCATTATCTGCATAAACTGTGAAACCAATTTTAGGTTCTACTTCACGATCAAATGAACGACGAGCTCGTACTTCACCCGTCAATTCATTGATTAGCAAATCAGTTGTATTGATACGATAGCGAACATTTTCCTATAATTTTTTCGATCGTTGAAATAAATGTTTGTAACTTTAAACCATATCCACATTTCAAACATATGTGCAGAATAAGCCCACTGAGACTTAAATTAATTAATTATAATTAGTAAAATGATAAGACATTAAAAATATGAAATCTTTCAATTAATATAATTCGATCTTTTTTAATGTGTAAGCTGCTATTACAATAACTCACAAGGGGTGGATATACAGAAAATGAAGTTAAGATTTTTTCCGGCGATGAATTCTCACTGATTTCAATAGACCAATTATTGGTTGTGTTGAATTTCGGCACTTGCAACATATTATCCAGAAGCCATATATGTACAGTAGCATTGTTCCGCGATAAACGACCGCCGTTATCTTTTGCTCCCACAATAACCTGACGATATATCGATATGATCACAATTATATAATTCCCTATTGTGCTAGTTAAAATGATAAGTTAGATATTAAAGAAAAGCACTAACTTCTATTTTTCGTTCAAAATTAAGTAAATCAGCATGTATCGCCAAATGTATTCTTCCAGTTGTATGATTTAATGCCAAGAAATTTGGAACAGGATAATAAAATAAATATAATATTTGAGCAAATTTTGGACTATCGTCATCAAATGCTTTAAGCTGTATTAGATGAGTACCAGATGGATCACTTCGTACAATATAACCATGATACTCCAGTTGTGCAAAATATGGATCATTGTCATTTACATCCTAGAAGTAGATCTCAAAATATAACGCCTTATCAATCCTTATCAATATAAGGCATTAACAACTTTTATGAATCATTTAAACTATTGATTATTTTTTCTAAGAAAATGAAAAGAAATAATAATTATTGATTGCATTTGATATTTATCGTTCTCTTAAAGGTTAGACTTACAATTAAAAAGTAAAGATAATGAAAGAGTTTAGTAATTAGTTAACTGTGAGAAATATACGAAAGAAAACAAAAACGAACTAAGACTTTAATGATAAGGAGAGCTGAAGAACTCTGCGGTGGATTACCGTGATCGGTTGCGGTAATAGTAATTTTATGTTCCTTTTTCGTTTCTCGGTCAAGCTTTGAACGCAGCAATATTTCACCGGAAGATTCTTTCACCATAAATATTTGTTGTTCTTTCGGAGAACATTCTATGCTATATGAAATAGCACTGTTAATTTCATGATCCTGAATATCAGCTAATTTAAATGACTCGGAAAAGGTTTCTAAAATTGTTCAATGATATGTAGAAATTTTTTCTATATAATCAGGCGATACTTCTAATACTATCACTTGAAAATTTCATTTTGCAAGTTCGTTTTAGCAAAAGAAGAAATTTCACCTCATCAGTTGCAAAAGCTTTGAAAATGACGGTAAGTGGTGCAGTATCTTCCGACACTTCAATCTCATAAAAAGGAGAGGAAAATTGCGGTTTATGATCATTCACATCGATAATCGCTACTTCAATTGTACAGATGGAAAATTTATCGCTAGGTGCTTCTTTCCGTACTATTACTTCAAATTCATAATTCCATTTTGTATGATTTGGCCATATTTTGGAAAGTGTTACGATACCTATCAAATTATTTCGATTAATAATTTCAAGTAATTGAAATATTTTAGGCTAATCTTTCTTCTTGTTTCTTTTTCCCATTTCTGTTATTCATTTAATAGCAAATGTATGGAATTAATATTTTCATTATTAAAATATTTCCCACTGGAAGTTTAACGATCGATCAAACAATTTTATATATCCAACATTGAACTAAAAAGAAAGTCAAAGTAGAAAAAAACTGGAACGATAATTTATTTATTTACTTAAGTTTTATTGTAAGCATTTACTACTTCGATTTTACAGGAAAATTAAAGTCAAAAATTTACCTGTGTTTTTACCAATCAAAAAAAGATTATCATTTTTGTCATCCTCAATAATGGAAAAATGTAAATCTTCCTCAGCAGAAGTTCGAACCGCCGCAACAAATGATCCAACTGGTGAATTTTCAAAAATGCTTACTTTTATGAATTCTTCTTCAAGCACTGGAGCAGTATCATTTAATTTCATAACATAAACCTGCAATGAATAAATTTCATTAGCTTTTCAAGTTTTATTGTCTCATTCATTGGCAAATCTTTTGAAGGAAACTTTATCTTCCTTTTGTTCTCTTTTACTTGAAAAAAGAAATTTTCTTTTTGATTTAAATAATCCCAAAAATATTAACCTTCAGTTCTCGTTCCGAAGAGCGTGGTGGCACGCCATCATCTGTTGCACAAAATTTCAGCAAAAATTGCTCGATCGGCTTATCTATTAATCGGTTTTGTCGTAAAATACCGTAATTTTTGCCACTTTCTAATCGAAAATAATTTTCATTGTTACCACTAATTATAGATATTTGAACATTTTGTCCATAATCACGATCATTTGTCGTTATCACAGCAATTGTTGAACCTATAGCTGTTTCTGAACTTATCCATGCAAATTCTGATCCGGTTGGATAAATCCTGTAAAGTAGTCAAAATTTAGAAATGGACTGAAAAAATTTTATGAAAATAATCAAAATCTGAGATTAATTACCTGAAATTAATTTCGGGATCATGTAAATTGGTATCTGTGAGATGTACATAAACCAAAGTACGTCCACTTAATTTTGGTTCACCTTGATCTTCTGCTTCCACCGTCAAAACACACATTCCCGAGCAGTCGGGCAGACAACCATCATCCGAGCAATTCAGTGCTGTATACTATAAAGCACTAATTTTATTCTGTAGTTTCGATTTAATTTCCTTTTGCTGATCCGGAAAAACAAATGTAAAAGTGAGTGCAACAATTAGGACAGTTGGAACATTGAATAAGCAAATCGGATCAAGTGATATTGTGACGGAAGAGGGCAAATCAACTATTGTTCAGGATCTTTGATATGTAATAGATTTTTATAAAATTTTTATGCAATTTGCCAAATACATTAGCATGCACAAATATAGTCTATTGATTAATTTTACCTAATACTAGATTTTTTTTTCGAGAACTGAAATGCTCTCCATAAAACATGGAGTTTCTAAACAGAATTGTAACCATTTTCTTCACCTGAACAGTTATTGCACCTGTCTCACGATCAATTTGGAAATATTGGAAAGGATTTCTTGTAAGATAGTAGTTGATACGACCGTTATCACCAGCGTCTGCATCAGTAGCTTCAACCCGTAATATTGTTGTATCAGATAATACCGATCCATTCAGATGAACATCATAACGTGGTTGATGAAATGTTGGTGGATTGTCATTTGCATCTAACACGTTTACATAGACTATACAGTAACCTGAGCTAAAAAAAAATCTAATCTTTAAATTAACGATAGTAATTATTTGAATTAGAAGCCAGGATGAAAAATGTTCTATTAATGAGAAAAGATTATTTTCCCCACTATAGATTAATCAATAAGCATATTTACTTAATTAGAGGTCAACAAAAGTTTTCGTAACTTTAATTATGATGATAAGCACATAAATTAATATTATAAAATTAAATGTTGAACAATAACCGAGGTGGAGTGCCTCCATCATATGCAGAAATATTTAGAATGAATAGATCTTTCGTTTCACGATCTAGTTTTGCTAATAGTTCAAGTAGTAAGACATCTCCACCAGTACTATTTGATGATCGTACCAATGTGAAAAATTCTTCTCCATTCTAAAAAAAAGATTTAAATTTCTAAAATCTTTGCAATGATCTCCGTAAAAGAAAATCGACTGACTTCAAGCTTATAACTTGCAATTGTGCCATTTTCAGCTAAATCTGGATCATTTGCTGGTTGTAACCGTATCCGACTGCCAACAATCGCTGATTCGATAATTGAAACATTCTAGAAAATAATTGAAATAATTGAAATTGAAAAAAATATCAGAAAAAAATTTTTTATTTGAAGATTTTAAAAGCAATACTACAATACTCTAAATTTAAATATCCGCAAAAAAATTTAATTTCAATCTGATTAATATTCAGATAGCAAGAGCAATCAGATTTTCGCGAAATGGAGGAGCAATATAAGAATTAACTATGCATCATAAATTTATGAATTTTGGACACCTGCGCCAATAATCCATTCCCTTAACTAGTCATTTTATGCACTTTCATTCTCACTAATTATCTCTGTTTCAGACCTTCGACAATTATGAAAGCTATCTCCGTTGTGTTGATGAAGTGAAATGTATAATTAACGCTTCCGATCAGTGATCCTTCTCTAATACACATAGCAAAATTTACATCACTCACAAATTACCTGCGGAAAGCAATTTAATCATAATATTTTCTTCCACTTTAATTAAGCAAAATTTTCGTTGACATGTCAAAATTGAAATTATTTTGACAATGTTAGAAGGTCAAAGAGATTCAATTTGATATTTGACGAAACATGTTGTTGAATTTTATGAAATAGCTACTAAAGTGCAACTTATTTCTTATCTTTCTAATTATGCAAAAAATTGAAAAATCGATTAGCATTGTTGAATTTTCTCTCAAATCCTAAAACATGTATTGATTTTCCTGATTGAAAGGATCAAAAACTGATCGTTATTGAATAACGATTTTCAAATTCCCATTTAAAAAAATCTGTTTCTTTTAAATCTAATACTGTATTTCTTTGAAATTCAAAATATTTCGTGGATGAGCAAATTATAAAAATAATGATTAATGGCCAATTCCCTACTTTTTGGGCTTTAATTAATAGCCACATTTATTCCACGATATTCTGGCAATGCTTAAATATGAGAATAGTAAATCTGTGATGTTATATGTTGATTACTTAGACCAACCATATATTTTGAGGGGAATGTCGGACTGTTATCATTAATATCGAGCACATTAATTCGAACTGCAATGATTGTAGTCGGTTCAGCAGTTAAAATCAAAATAATTGTTCCATTGGGTGATATAGTCTCTCGATTCAATGGTGCAGAAATATGAATTTCACCAGTTTGAATATCCACCGATGCAAACTGATTATGTCCATTTAATCGATAACTGAGATTCGATTGCAATGTAATTTTACCGATCAATGTACCTTCAGGAATATCTGCAAAATGTAACAGGGATAAAGTATACTGAGAAGCAAAGAATTAAAACTTTAAATTCAATTTTAGTTCTATCATAAAAAACCGGCTAACTTATAATTTGCATTATATTCAATTCTAAAGTTACCATTAAAATTGCAGATTCCGATTATATAACTTCAGGTAAAATAATTGGTTAATAGTGATGGAAACTATTGCAGCAATTAATGCAATCAGTACGACGATACATTATTATTTCCATTCTCCAATAAGAAAAAAAAAATTATACCTTCTGGAACTTCAAAGTCGAAATGTTGTTCGGAGAATAATCGAATTGGAATAATAAGATAATAGAGAAGGAATAATTGAAGAGCACATCGCATTCCACACACTCAATTAACACTAACATCTTATATGGAAATATACTTCAAAAAAAAGAAAAACACCGCGGAACAGATTAGGAAAATATAAATTTCGCTGATAGCAAATGTTGAAAATTCGTAGTTCATTAGTTGAACGATTTAACGAAGAGATAAGACAATATTTTCCATACTTTTCTTTTACTTTCCGCATATTACCCCATAAGTTTGTATCAATGAAGAATCAATGTCATTGGAAAACTTTCTGAGTTATGTTTTGATGAATAAATTATTTGTAAGCATAAATTTGAAAATTCAAAAAGTAATCATAAAAAACAAAAGAAGCATAGAATGTTTTGGAAATTGGAAGCCATAGAATCTGAAGTGTTAAAAATATGAATGAGAAATTTTTACGAATCCTAAATAATATTATTCAAGAAAAAGAAAGAAATGAATTTCTGTTTGAAAATGAGTGGTGATATATAATGAAATAATTACGCGTAATTATTAGATTCTTCTATTGGTACTAGAAATTTTAGATTTCATTTATTTGAATTAGTCAGAATTGCCAAATATTACACTGGTAGTAATTTATGTTTATTCAATCTTATCATCATCAAATTTTAATTGCATTTAATGAATGAAATTAATAAATAAAACAATTACGCATTGAGTTATTATAATTATTCGATTTAATTTCCTGTTGAAAGCAAAAATAAAATAAGCCAAACAAACTTTTCCTCTTATATTAAAATATAAGTAATTCGACTAATTTGGCAGAAATCATTTTTTTTTAAATCTTCAATAAGGAAAGACGAAATGATTCTGAATGACAGAATGTAATGGGAGGTTGGCGACAGATACGATAGATGTCGGCGGATAATGGCGTTCAAATGTAATCTAATCGCACAATCATAGAATAAACCCAAATGACGTATCAATGAACTACTTTAAATTATTCAGAGGATGAAAAATGAAATTGGCATAATATTAATAAAAGTAAAATTACTTACCGTAGCGAAGCAAATTTGCAAAAATAAGTTACGATAGGGCTATCAGTATTAAAAGAATGAAGGTCAGTTTCTTGCAAAAATAATGATCAAAGCATTTAAATTGAAATAATCAGCTAATTTGTAGCTACTATAATGTTTTTGCTTGCTTTCGAAAATTTTGTAGTAGTTTTTTTTTGTTGAAAAGCAACCTGAAGAATGAAGTGATATTAATTCCGTGCATCCAAACTGATTTATTGGAATTGATAAGAAGTGATAACATATCATAGTTTAATTCTTTGCCAGTTTATTGATACATAATAATACTTTGAGCAATATTTAGAATGAATGTGAACTGAGAAGAATTACTCTATAAGGTAGATTAATATTTCGAGCATTGGTAGGCGGGTAAGCTTGGGCGGATCGTAAATAGGTGACCATTGGGCGTGGTTCTCTTGTCATCCACAATAGTTGTCCTTTCTCTAGCTGTTAACAGAGGTCAGCAATATATTTTTGTATAGAGGGAAGATAAGAGAGAAATGTCACTTACAAAGACGACCTTCGAACCACTGCGGGGATGTGGCACGAAATATTTCCGGTGCTGAGCACTTGAGTTATTGATAATACTCAAGTAGAATGGAAAAAAAACTTATGAAAAGATTGAATTTGCATGAAAATTGAAAAAGTAGAACTTGTTGAATTTCTCGAGAGCACTAGAAAATATGAATTGACAAAATCTCGATTCTTTCCGCCGTAAATTATTTTGCAAATGTAATACGACATCACTATTATCATTAATATGAAGAGCTGTTGTTGTTGAAATGAGCTCGAGATGAGAGGCGCAAATTGTATGAAAATTGTAATAAAGTTTATTTATTTGAAAGAGTAGCTTTCAGGTTTAATTATTGTATGAATATTATTTTTAGGATTACAGTCAATTTTACCAATAGCAGCTTAATTTGCGCATAATTTAAAACCTTCAAAACTCTATTAATTAATTAATTATTTGAGGAATAAATTTATTCTTTTGCTTTCCAATTCATAATTGTATTTTATTTTAACATTTCTCTTTTTTTGTATTTTAACATTTCTCTTTTTCTCAATGAAATAATAGTTGCATAATTTAATGATTTATGTTAATATCGTTGCATAAAATTTTCCCTTTTCTTCTTAATTTTTATTGGTAATTTCATTGTTTTAATTCAACAATATTATTTTTATTAACACAAAAAAATGGTTTCAAAAAATTAAATTTTTAAAATTACTTATATATCACAATGATTGCCAATAAAAATTGAAAATATTAACCAGTTTAAATTTAATTCTATTCAATCATTTGAATTTAAATTTAATTCTGTTCAATGAATCGGAAATGTCGTCGTGAATGAAACTGGTTGTATCATTCATTCATATATGATCGTTTTTAGCTTTACTTCCAAATGATCACAGTTGAAAGATTTTTTTATAATCCCTTCTTTGAAATCAGTTTTTTGAAAACTGTGAAATTTAGAAGTATCTAAATATTAATATTTTTTTTTGTTCTAAATAAATGTTCAATAATTTATAATGTACTGTCTGTAACCGATCGACAAGTTTTGATTCAGAAAAGAAAAAGAAACTAATTAAATTTTAATAAATCAAATGAGAAAGGAAACTTTAAAATGTTTCAATTTGGATAAGGATGAAATTGATGGAATAAAAATTTATAGATTCTGAATCCATAAAGAAATTCTCAATAATTGAATAGTATACGTTCAAAGAATGCAAAAATATGGTTGTCATATGAACGATCTGAAAACGTTGCAGAAAAGTAGAAAATTTAATTCCTTGGAATAGAATGAAGAAAAGATGAAAATAAAAGAAAGCCAAACTCTATAGTTTCCAGATATTTCAATATAATTTAACAGATTAACTGTTTCATTGGTTATCAACAAAAATGTCGAAATCAACATTGTTGCATCGTTTTTATCGGATGAATGTTTTCTGTTGCTATTCGAATTAGTTCGATTCATTCAAATGATTCAACAAATTCCAAGGACGAAAAATTCCAATGATCTTTTTCTAATTTCTTCTATGAAATGCCTTTTTTACGAATGTCAACATGAAAAGAGAAAAGTTATCCATAAAGGAAAACATTGGAAATTTTCAATCAAAACCCTTTCACAACAATTTTTTCTTCCACTTTCTACATTTGTGTTATTAATTTTTTGCATACAACAATGATAATAAATGCTGAAAATACTGATAATGGATCATATTCACAGTATCACTATTATCAGTGATCTATGATGAATTTAGAATAATACATAAATGGGAATAGGGATTGCGAATGCACATACAGACATGCATATATAATCTCTAAAATGAACGACAGTATCATATGGATTCATCTATAGTAATGTAAAACTCCTTTGTATCACATTTTCGATGCGATTTCATTCCAGCTACCTGAAATCGATTGGTACTAATATCCATTTCATTTCTATGTGTATATCTAAATTCAAAAAATGAGGAAAAAAATTCATTTTTGGATTAGTTCATGCAAAGAAATTTGTTGTCTATTGCATCCTTTTATTTGTTACGATTGATCAATTCAAATTTTCGTATTTTTAATTTATCAATTATAAATAAAACTGTTTCTGAGGAATGTGACTTCTACTTGTTTTCACATTAAGGATGTGTCAGTAAGCAGCGGGGGAAAAAAAAAAATGAAATACCTGATGAATTTGCAACTGCTCTTCAAGTTCTAATAAAGTGCGACATTGGAGTTGAGCCAATCTTTGTGAACTTTAAGATAATGGATGGCATCTATGCCGGATATGAAATGAGTGGCATCTATGCCAGATATGAAAATGGAGATGTTTGCTATCATTATGATTATTTTGAAAACGATTGTCTACAAAAGACAATTTGAAAAATGACCATCAGAATCATTTTTTTCCAAATATTTTAGTATAAAACGAAACGAATTCTTTTCATATCATAAATTTTTTGGCATCGAAATTTTTTACAAATGGAAAATTTTTTATAATAATCAGATCTTAAAACTTCTATTGCGCGTTGAAATTTAATTGACTTTTTAATAAGAACTTCAGATGTTGCTGCAGCCTCAAAATATCAAAAGTTTTGTAACTCCAAAGGAGTTAGTTTATGTTGGAAGCACTTTTAAAGATCAAGATAAGGTTACAATGTTAAGCGGATTCTTTCGTTCTGGAATAGCGGTGATATTCTTTCATTAACGGGAAATATCACGACATTATTTGCCCGTTGTAGAAAAGTTAATTTCCATCACTGTAGGAAAAGAGTTATTGGTTAAATAAGAATGTTTGCGACATCTATTTATCAATCACAGAGGTTGTCGTGATCCAGCAAGATGATCATTAGCAATTTGTTTTGATTTCCAAGGAAAAGTTGCCAATTTCAAAACAGAAGAGAAAAACTCCTTTTTTAACTGTTCCAAGAATACCAAGCGCTACATTAGGTGACGGCTCACCAGGAAATAACCTTGGAAGAAGTTGATTAAGATATCTGTTCTTGAAGCAGTGATTTATAAATTGTTGATAATATTAATGAAATTGATTTTTACGGATAGTTGTGGCTGTTTTTACGATCAATAAAAATCATAAATTTATTGAAAATAGATAGAATTATGTGGAAAGAAATATCGCAATAATTACATATTTCTTTCAGTCGAACTGCCCTTCAATGTTTTAAAAACATGCATAGGTGTGCAATTAGCAATACAATAATGAACACTTGCAAATTAAGTTGTACAGTTAGATGGGCAGCCGCATGCGCATTCATCCTGGTCGGAAATCACAATATAAATATTGTATGACTTGGCGAATATGAAATAGTTTTTTCAGAGGATCGGATGATGTCACAAGTTCGGGAGTTCGGTTTTTGGAATTTGAAGATCATCGAATTACTAAAAAGAGGTGGGAAAGAGACAAAAATATTCTGCTCATGTCCTTCGTAATTTGTTGTCCCTCATTCCGCGTAATCTATTTCATCATGACTGTTCAAACTTGCACAGATCAACGTACATTGATAGCATTGACGTCAAATAACTATATCTGCGAAGTTGCTCAAAACTACCTCTACTAGTGTGAAGTGCTTCCAGACAATAATGATAATAGTACAACATTTTCCCTTATTGTATTCAATTAAAAAGTGAAATTACTTTGTCTTAAAAAATTGCAACCTGTATCATACCAATCAGTGAAACAAAATCAATACTGCATGTGAATGTCTGCATGTAAACTAATTAGAATGCAGGAAACTTCGTTCTGTGAATTATTTACAAAAACATCCAGATTGAAAACATCCTTCCAAAAAACAGTTGTGATGAAAACAAGGAATGAATCACATGATAGCATTCTCCCCATCTCCCTCAGCAATCTGCACTCTAGATCGTACCGCTCGATCTCTTATTACAATCCTAAATGAGTTTCTAGAACATTCTCCCATTCTCTATGTCTATCTCACCTTTTAACTACTCTCTCATTCATTGCTGCAGTCACTTGTCATCTTTCACATGCTGTTAGCAGCATTCGCATACTGTATTATTAGAAGATACTCTCAGTCTACGCACTATTCATTCTTTATTCTTCCAGAACATTCGATGTGTTCAACATATAAAGGAGTTGAACAAGCGCAACGCGTCAGTCACGAGTTGTTTGGTACGTCATACGGTTGGGTGTTTGGTGGTGGGGATCGTGGGGATCGGCGGGCAGGTGTGACGTGAGGTAAAGTGGGGTTACGTGGCGTATTTCCTTGACATATTCCCTCAACGTGTATTTGCAATATTGGCAATGTTACAGGTGTATCAATCGCTGATTATTTTACAACGCTTCTCATCAAACAACAAATATGTCAAAGAACGCTATTGGTATCGATCTTGGAACCACGTACTCTTGCGTGGGTGTGTTCATGCATGGCAAAGTAGAAATCATTGCTAATGATCAAGGTTGCGATTATTAATAATTTATTCTCCTTGAGATTCATGTACCTAACCTTCTATATGCAGACCTTTCGTAACAGCACTTACCAGTAGTTTGTGAATTTAGTGATATAGGATCGTGTGAGATATAATTCTGGCACCTATTGTCTCACCGATCAATTTACGTTCTTCCAGCGGTAATTGCATCTATTATGGTGAAACATTTAAATGAACCTGTGCTTTATGGAGCACATTGTTAATAATGGCAGTCAGAATTGATAATAGATTTAATAGTTGAGTGCATTAATATGGCTGTTAATTTCTCTCATCCTATGTTTTAGTGAGACGTTTGGCATTTTAGGTAATCGAACAACACCATCGTATGTGGCGTTTACCGATACTGAACGCCTTATTGGCGATGCAGCCAAAAATCAAGTTGCAATGAATCCGCATAATACTGTTTTCGGTAATTAGATCTCTTTTACTTGAAGTTGTTTTGCTTGTAGTCGTGTAATGTGATGCAATGTCGCTGTTATATCCATATAATTTTCAATGTCTATATCTGATACGATTTGAAGTTAATTGCTGCACTTTTTTTGTATGTGGATTATGATTTTAGATGCTAAACGATTGATCGGTCGTAAGTTCGATGATGCAACAATACAGTCAGATATGAAACATTGGCCATTCAAAGTAATAAATGTCGATGATGGCAAACCAAAAGTACAGGTTGAATACAAGGGCGAAGTGAAAACTTTCACGCCAGAAGAAATTTCTTCGATGGTTTTGCTTAAAATGAAGGAGACGGCTGAGGCATTTCTCGGTCATCCAGTCAAGGATGCTGTTATCACAGTCCCCGCATACTTTAACGACTCACAGCGGCAAGCGACGAAAGATTCTGGTGCAATTTCCGGGCTAAACGTCCTGCGTATCATCAACGAACCAACAGCGGCTGCTATTGCTTACGGTTTGGACAAGAAGGTACATAGATATTGCATAGGGATACATACTCACGGCTGGAATTAAGCTGGCAGCATGAGTTCATTGACAAGATATGTGGTATTTTATATTGCAGGGTCATGGTGAACGCAACGTTCTCATCTTTGATCTTGGTGGTGGTACTTTTGATGTGTCAATCCTGACCATTGAGGACGGTATCTTCGAGGTCAAGTCTACTGCTGGCGACACTCATCTTGGAGGTGTGCTAGTTTCATGATTTCTTTTAAGTTATTCTTCGAAAAGTTTGGAGTATGTTATGGTTGTGCGTTAGTTATGCGAGTGGGTATTGTCGGATTCATTTTTAGGCGAGGATTTCGATAACCGCATGGTGAACCATTTCGTTGCGGAATTCAAGCGTAAGCACAAAAAAGATCTTGCAACCAATTCACGTGCTCTTCGTCGTTTACGTACTGCATGCGAAAGGGCGAAACGAACGCTTTCTAGTTCATCTCAAGCGAGGTATTTTTTTCAGTAGTTCCATCTTTTATACGGGATGCTCTAGAAGTGATAATGTGAAGTGATGGCATATTTGCTTTTTTCAGTATCGAGATTGATTCGTTGTTCGAAGGAATTGATTTCTATACCAATATTACCCGTGCTCGCTTTGAAGAACTGTGTGCTGATCTTTTCCGTTCAACTATGGAACCGGTTGAGAAAGCATTGCGTGACGCTAAGATGGACAAAGCTCAAGTTCATGACATTGTGCTAGTAGGCGGATCAACCCGTATCCCAAAAGTACAGAAGCTCCTGTCAGATTTCTTTTCTGGTAAAGAGCTGAATAAAAGCATCAACCCAGATGAGGTAAATTGCCATTTGAATTAGTTTGTTTTTATGAAGTAAAAGAGGCTTGGAAGTTGTTATGGGATTTCGTCAGATGAACTAAATCTAACTATATTGAAGTGGTAAATTGTAGGCCGTGGCGTATGGTGCAGCAGTACAAGGAGCTATTCTTTCTGGTGATAAGTCAGAAAACGTACAAGACTTGTTGCTACTCGATGTTGCACCGCTTTCACTTGGTATTGAAACAGCTGGAGGTGTTATGACTGCTCTTATCAAACGGAACACTACCATCCCCACCAAAACATCCCAAACTTTCACAACTTACTCTGATAACCAGCCTGGCGTCCTCATTCAGGTTTGGTTTCTAATCTTTGTGTACGCGATTTTTTCTTACAGTTTCAAAACTACGTTCCACACTTACCCGGCATGGTTTGAATTTCAGGTTTACGAAGGTGAACGCGCTATGACCAAAGACAATAATTTGCTTGGTAAATTCGAGCTATCTGGCATTCCACCTGCTCCTCGCGGTGTTCCGCAAATTGAAGTCACCTTTGATATTGACGCGAACGGTATTCTGAATGTTTCCGCCCAGGACAAGTCTACAGGCAAACAAAACAAGATTACAATTACCAATGATAAGGGACGTTTGTCAAAGGATGAAATCGAGCGGATGGTGCAGGAAGCAGAAAAATATAAGGCAGATGATGATATTCAAAAAGATCGTGTTGCAGCGAAAAATGCTCTGGAGTCCTATGCATTCAATATGAAGCAGACAATCGAGGACGAGAAGGTAGTGCCATGAAAATTTTTACCAAAAGATGGGTAAGATGGGTAATGCTTGTGATTCATGTATTTTAAGATGGGTAATGCTTTGTGATTCATGTATTTTAGCGTGAATCATTCTCCCCTTTCTAGATGAAAGACAAGATTTCGGAAGAGGACAAAAAGAAGATTCAACAGAAATGCGAAGAAACGGTTAGGTGGTTGGATGGCAACCAATCAGCTGAAAAAGATGAATTTGAACATCGTCAGAAAGAATTGGAAGCTGTCTGTAATCCGATCATTACGAAACTGTACCAGAGCGCTGGTGGTATGCCTGGAGGTAATATTTACGTAACTTACTGGACTCATCAAATATCTTAATACTGGTTGGATTTGGTATGATAATGCTATAGTATGAGCTAATCAATGGGAATTGTCTAATGTCATGAATGTTTTAGGAATGCCTGGTGGTATGCCGGGTGGAGCTCCAGGTGGCGGTTCGACAGGAGGTGGGCCAACAATTGAAGAAGTTGATTAGATGATTTATTGATCGAAAATAACGATCTCATTTTCGCAACATGATATATATACCTCTTGTTGCCCGTATTTTATATCATTAAATTCAATTATTTCTTTATCGACGTACATCTAATTGGAATGACCGAGGGGATTGTATGTATTCTTATTGCTGTGCTTGTTATTGTTCTTTTTTTTCGTTTGCTTTGTCAAGAATTTATGTGATCTGTAAAATTTAAGTACTATAATCCGTGTGATTATTTTAATACATCGAAGGAAAGGGCTTTTCATGTGCGTAGTTGATCGTATGAGCATTAAGGAGTTTGAAAGGTTGAAAATCTTTCACAGAAGGATTTGCTATTTTGACGGAGTATTTTACGATCCTGTAAGAAACCGGGGATAAGCTGACGAAGGGCGAGTAAGTGCAAATCTGTATTCGATCACCAAGATGGGAGAAGTGTAGATTGGACGCGGCACTTGGAGTTTAATATTATCATCTTATGTCTTCGTGTTGTCAAACGATTTAGCCACCACCCGCATTTGGGATGGCTACCAGTAAGAGAAATTTGATCCCAACATGGAAGTTGAAGGGCTTCGTCCAACCCCGGCGTGCAATCATAAGTGGTGGCTGCCATCCGAGGTCATCTTATATAATTATTGTTGAGGCCGATGCGCCATGGTGTACGCATTGGAGAGTAAATTGGACAGGAAGGGAGAGTTTTGCAGGGTTGAATCCTATCATCCTTTTACGGTACATCTCCAGTTGATAATTTCTCTGGTGCTGTTAATGGACTTTTTTAATGCTGTTAAAAGATTTTACTACTATTTAGAATAATAAAGAATAACACAGTGATAAGTGCAACAAGGTTTTGATGTGAACATAAGTAAGATTCCTTTCATTTTTACTGAACAACTGAGTCATTTTATAGTTTTCGGAATCTATAATTTTTGGAAAGTAAGCAGTTGAGACAAGCTGGAAAATCTATCCCTTTGCTTCCATCAAAATCAAAATGAAAAAAGCAATCTTATCAATACATTTTTGTGAGTTCCGCAATACGCTCTACATATCATCGTCATCATTTCTTCGCTGTACTGGTTTTTCAAGCTTAATCAAATCATCAATACGAAGAATTGTTATGGCAGCTTCGGTCGCAAACTTTAGACTCTTCACTTTACTCATCAGTGGCTCAAGAACGCCAGCTTCCTTGTTGTCGCGGATTTCACCGTTTTCCAAATCCAAGCCAGCCCTATAATGAAGGCAGATTGAATTAGGAATGAAACAAACTACCCAACCTCACTCGTTATTTTATTTCATTCCATACTCCTTAGAAGGTAAGAGAAGGTACAAATCCACAACAGATCTAACTAGCATTTGATTTGGCTAGGTTTAGCAGAAATTTGTCTTATGATAAACAATTTTAGTTCTTTCTATAAAATCGGTAAATACCATTTCAGATGAGCAAGCTCTTTCACTTGCTGTGCTTTGTTGTGAAATGCTCGCAACTTAGCGACCAATTCCGTTGAATCCTTAGCGGCATTCGAAGCGAGCACTTTTGGTATAATAAGCAATGAATTAGCGAATTCAGCTACAGCAAGCTGTTCACGGCTTGACTGCAAAAAATATTTCACGCCGAAATAATTTCCTGGGCATTGCGATGACACAAAATATTTAAAAATCAATTCTTCAGACTTGAAACTGTGTATTTGTTACAACTTATCAAGTCCAAAATCAAAGTGCCAGTTTCAAATTCAAATTATAAAACGCTGCTGAAATTATACTAATTAAAAAGAATCGAAACTCACTAAAGTAGTGGCAAATGCTTCAAGATAAACATTCAGAGAAGCTTCTACCGCTCCACCACCAACAACTAATTTTTTACTTTCAAGCACTCGCTGGACAACACAGAGAGCATCGTGAAGTGAACGTTCCATTTCATCCAGCATCACATCATTTGGTCCGCTAAACGACAAATATAGTAAGAAAGAAGCAATAGAAGCATGAAAACGATTCGACTGCATCTTCATTTTTTTTTCTTTTAATCAAACTCACAAAAATAATGTTTAGTATCTGCCATGATGCACATGTATGGTAATTGTTAGCAAAAAAAATACTATGAAATACTTTACCGAAGAATAATTGAGGACGAAGTCCGTGCTTTCGGTCCTTTAATAAGAATGAGCTCGTCGTCTGAAATTCTTTCCTGAACCACTTCATCAGCTATACCGAGCTGGGAGGTTTCAAATGCTTCTGCGCCTTCCAAAGTAGCCAAAGATGACATCAAGGTGGCTGAAACATGATTCGTTTCTAAATTAGAGCTCTCCAAAGATTTCAGCAAACGAATTCAATTGAAATTTCCAGCTCCCTTTTCTGAGATACTTCTTTAAAAAATATCTTTTCAAATCCGAAAGCAGTACTTTGATCACACTATCATATCAACGAAAAAGAAATTCAAAGGAATTGCTGCATATTTCTATTAGATTACCTCCAGTTGCTTTGGCGATTCGTTTCAAGTCAATCTTTTTGCATCGTCGAACCGCCATCGCACCTGCTTCGACAAACTGCTTTAGGCAGAGATCATCGATTCCACCCGTCGTTAGCACTACATTGGCTCCAGCTTTCAAAATTTTTTCAATTCTTCGTTTCGTTATTTCGTATTCTCTACAATCAAACATTTCTTAAAAGCATCAGAAAAATGCTATCAATCCTATAAACAGTACACATTCCTTCTTTTGAATTCCATGACTTGAAACACCTTAAAAGAACCACAGGATGTAAAAATGAATCGTGAAAAAAATCTAAAATGAAAACTTACTCACGGCGAAATGCTTCAAGCTTCATTGGGTCTTCGACTATCACCGATATTCCAAGGTGCATTTTGACCTTCTGAAGCGAGAAATCCAAACATGCAATCTTCGCATTATGAATAATGCGTGGCATAGCTAAAATCATTGTTCACTTACAAAAATTATAATCAAATAATCAAAAAATCTAATCAGAATAACGAATCATTGAGTAAAATAGCAATATAAATTATTCCTCTAAGTTACTATTTCTCAATCAGAATTTACTGAAGTAAATGGTAATAGCAGCTACAAATCTACAGAAAGGCTATCATAACAGATTATTATCAAAATTAGGAGATTCATTTTGAAATATGAAGCAGATGACGTGGAAAACAACTCGACTATCACCGATATTCCAAGATGCATTTCGATCTTCTACTGTGATCGTAAATGATGCACGTAAGCTAAACATAATAATCAATCGTTCGGAGGAAGGAGGAGAAGTAGTGTACTACTGCGATCGTAAATCTCAATATAAAAATTACCTTGACTTGCAACAGTACAATTCAGCGCATAGCCCTTAATCAGAAAACTTTCACGTACTGATTTTCCATGCGCTTTCAATACGTTGACAGCCTTGATTGGGTATGTAACTTTACCCTGGACATCGGTTACCTTAACCAATTCTGCCGCTTCAACGACCATTTTAGCAAAAAAGTCAGTATCTCTGCAAAAAAATGCAGCATCCGAAATAAATCATTATAGAGACGACTTAAGGGAATGGACATTAAGATCAACATTATTAGAACACGACTTTTGAAAAAAGATCGTGTTTTAAAAAATAAACTGCAACGCAGTACTCATTCAAATGATAAGCTGTTGTTGTTCGAAGGAAATAAGGAAAAAAGATATGAAAAAGATGAAAGGTTTAATAATCACAACCTAAATCCTAAAAGTGCCATTAAAATCACATATTAGACACAGTGAGTATTAAAAAAAAGAAATGAAGATCTGAACCTCAACTAACCCTCTAATACGCAGACTTGAACCAAACCGATCTTACACTCATGAATAATAGTAATCACAAAAAAAAGAAAACATACGGTCCAATGACTTTTGAAGACATCGCTGTCTTCGCAGCTTCAGTAATTGAATGTCGCCCCAACTCCTGAGATCCAAATGACAAATTGTCCTGCAGAAAAACTCAGAAAAATAGAATACTAGCGCTAACGCTTAACCCATGACAACTATATGTTCCTAATCACTCATCGAAGGTCCATAGGCTAAACATTCTTCACGCATTATTAACTATCACTAATTTTGGACTGTAGCACCTTTGCTACTAGGTGACTGAGTAAGAACAGCGCCGAAATACTTACAGCTGATAAAACGGTAATATTATTTTCCAAATATGAATAACAATCCTCGACCTTTGAATTCAATATTTGATACATATGAAGGAGATCATAAAACAACAGATAACAATTATTAAATCTTTATCAGAAGAAATATCTACCTGCATGTAACGTACAGACTCTTTACAAGCTAACCGATAACCGTTGATAACAGTTGTGGGATGAACTTGTTGCTTAACTAATTCATCAGCAGACTTAAGCAACTCTGCCGCCACAATAACTACTGATGTTGTTCCATCGCCAACCTTAAAAAATTCCTTTAAAATTATCGATTGAAATAATTTCAACTACAATTATCTGGAAAGAACAGAATGAGGAACTCAGAAGAATCAATTTTAGAAACTTTACAAGTCCAAATACTCCACGACCAACTTCAAAAGAAAAAACAATAATGTGCTATCGGATACCTCCTCATCTTGTAACTGAGCCAATTCGACAAGAACCTTCGCAGCAGGATGTTCAACTTCTATTTGTTTAAGGATTGTCGCACCATCGTTTGTCACTACTGCATCCTGAAATCCTCCCAAACTCTGCATAATTCTTGAAACGCGACGCTAGATCTCAGCCTTTAGGACCATCCTCTTTCAAGTGTAAGTGCTGTCGTAAAATATTTAAGTTTATAAAAATATGTGCAGTCACATTATCAACATTGGTGTCGTAAAACGATATACCGTTATAACAAAAATGTTTGCATCTTCATCACATTTTGCAAACACCTGTACGAATGTAACCTACCCCGACGTCATCCACAAGCATTTTGTCGAGTCCAACCGGTCCAAGTGAAGACTTGACAATGTTAGCTATCGCTGATGCTGCCATAACTGAAATTAAAACAATATGCTTGGTGTAAATAAAATTTCTGCAAAAATTCTGTCAGATCTGGTTTTTCCAAGAGATTAAGCTGCAAACATAAGGAACGCATAGTCAAAAATTCATAAATGTAATAGTGAAATAAAGAAATATGTTACGAAAGCAAAAAGATACCATTCTGCGTTCGAATAGACTGACCAGACGTACGTTTCCCCGTAACAGCAAGGAGCCTTTCGCCACCAGACGCCATTTTTCTAAATAAATAATTTTACCTGTACTATTTAAATGATAAATATTAATATCGAAAAAACATTCAACCCAGCTCTACAACTCCATCACTACCCTGGAGAAGAAATACCCTTAACACCGCTTCAGGAAGCCTTTAATCACTCTATCTGTATATCCTACGACACTACAATCCAAGCAATGACTCGCTATGAAAAGTTTATCCTCGATCCAAATACTTAATATTATGAGTGCCGCTATAGGATCTGCTGGGTATTTTGTTACCGATTGTTTCGCATTTCTCTCCGATAAATTCTATTAGTGATCATTGCTTCCTTCTCTTTTTCAGTTTACTCATTTTTCGAAATTGTCGAAAATCTTGAGATGGTACATGATGGCTCATTATTGGCCAGTATAATACCGAAACGCGACAGATATTTGTACGACAGTTGGGATTCAATGTTGTCCAGTGATGGCAAATTCGATAAGCCATCGAATTGTACAAATGGAATCAAATGGATTCTAGATGTAATGCTCTTTTTTTACTTGAGTTTTATTTTAGTAACTTATGGCTTGAAAACCCATTTTTTGGCAAAATTTTTAAACAGAGATCGAAATCGAGAGCTTAAAAAAAAGACGCAAATTTTCATCAGTATCATAAAATAATCGTGCAAGTGAGGTGAACTATTTCAAGTATTTCCCGAACTGATGATATATGCAAAAATTTATTGAATGAGTTATTAAAAGGTTTTAGTAATTATTGTGAATGACCGTGTGCTACAAACTACTTTTCTATTGATTTGTATTATTCACATGTTTTGAATATGAAAGTTTAGATTGCGCATTAGACACATTTACGAGTCTTATTAAAGGGGTGAAATAAATAAGGAAAAATTGTAGTGCTAACTTACACATTTATTCAGCTTTATTTCAGGTTTTCGGAGATTGTGTCGACACGAACTTGAAATTAATTGGCTTTATCATTGGATTCATATCATTGTTTCTGTGGCTTCTGCCATTAATTCCACAGCTTTTACATAATTATCGCACTAAGCGCTGCGATGGACTTTCCATTTATTTTATTCTTTTTTGGTACATTTTGTCAAGTTAGAGTATATTGTTTATTGAGAAGAAAAATTTAGCATTTTGGTTTGGCACTACTTTCGATTGCTAAATTATTAAAAATTATTTTAGCAATTGTTATGAACGACCGTGTGCTTCAAATATATTTCTACTGGTTTGTATTATTCTGTGGATGTACTGCTGCTATCAATCTTTTTTTAATAAAAAAATTTGTTGTATGAGATAGGGTGAAAAGCTCAACCTAATACCTTCTAGATAAGTATTCGAGTCATCTCATTACACTTCTTAATTTTGAGGGTTGTTGGTGATTCATGCAACACAGCTGGAGCAGTACTTACAAATCAACAACCTCTTCAGAAAATTATTGGTGTTTATTACATTGTACAGGTATGAAACTCCAAAGTACAAAATACTATGCTTTTTCTTGCGAAACCATCCCATTATCCAAAAGCGATTTTAGTTTCATGCATATTTTCAGGATATGGTGCTTTTGAGCCAGTATTTTTATTACAGTCATATCTATCCACATCGACTACGAGGTATAGCTTCAAACTAAGTTTCCAATTTTTGTTCATTTTTTCATGTGTTTCAGTGAATAGGAAAATGTTGTTGAAAAAAAGCTATTTATTATCGCTTTTAGAATTTTCAGAAAATAAATTCCAGTAAATTCTTTATTGGCAATGCAAATTTCATCATTTGCAGTTAGATGCCTTCATTAATTTCGTTGAGTCTTTTGATTTTTATCTCATTGATGTTATTCTTTCATATGAACTGATTATCAGTTTCTGCACGAAGTAATCCAATAACAAGTCCAACAGCAATAGTGCCAGGCATTTTTGTTGGATTATTAATGACTGGAGCATTGCTTTCAAAAGAACATGCACCGAATGAATTCGAATATCAAACTTATGAAGCGTCAGGCGGGAGAAGAAAGTTACTTTCTATTAAACTACCTGGTGGACCACCATTTTTTAATGGCTACTACGATTTGGTTGGCATAATTTCATGTGCTATCTTTTAATTTCAAAAAATTCGAAGATGAATTAAAAATTTATAAATTTACAGCGAAGAAAAAATTATTCAGCTACATTAAGAAATTGCTTTGTTTTCCAGCTCGGCTATATAATTGGTTCTGTAGCCGCAACATGTTACTTTGCTGGTCGAATTCCTCAGATGTTAAAGAATTATTACCGTCAGTCTTGTGAAGGTATTAATTATGTCATGAAAATAACATTAATTTATCTTATGTGTAAGCTTGAGTTGGGATAGTACAAATATGCGTAAAAGAATAAACTCTTGTGATATTTTGAATAGGGAGATTCATTGAACATAACTTTCTAACTTGTTTTGTGATGCCAAGTATTATTTCACATTTCAGTTTGTCCTGTTGTACAATAAAAAGATATATTCCACAATATTGGATAGGACTTTAATAAAGAATTCGAAAAAGCTGAACCTCTAAATCATACTATAAATTAATTATGATTTCCATGCTTAGAAATTTATTTTAAAATAGAAATTTGTGGCGCTGCTTTTTTAGGTCTATCACTGATTATGTTCTACATAATTATATTGGCAAATGCTACATATGGATTATCTGTAAGTTCTTGGCGATAAGATTGTTTTGGTTAAGTGTAAAATGCTGAATAATTAGAAGCAAAAGTACTGTCATGGAAGCTATAAGCTATAAGCTAAAGAAGCAAAAGTAAACTATAAGCTAATGTAGAATAATATCCAAAAAATTGAACGGGAAAGTTCATTTTACTATGAATATCAAAGTACTCTTCCACAGGTCCAATGATCTACTTTGATGTTTCTATTTCTGTGCCAAGATATAACTTTCCTTTAAAATCAGGAAAGAGATTGGGCAGTTATTTTAGATTCTCATGAATTTTAGGTTTCACTGGAAGCAACTAATTGGCATTATATTTTGCGTCATTTACCGTGGTTGGTAGGTAGTTTAGGTTGTTGTATATTCGATGTCATTATGGTTGTGCAGTACTTCTATTATGATCGTTTGAATCGTAAGAAAGATGTAATGGAGCGCGAAGCATTATTGGAAGATGCAGATTGATGTTTTTATATTTGTTAATGTCATATATGTTCGTGTAGTTCATAACTCATAGATTTTGGGTGGATACTCTTTCGCAGAGTATTGATTTTGGAGAAAATTTTTAGGAAAAGTACGAAAATTATGATAGTAGAACAGTAGAAAAAGCGTTTATCTGTTTATCAGATGAGTGTATCTCAAAATAGCTTTCTTTTGCAGAATTTACTCACAGTAGGAAAAATTACCTTGTTTTAATTTTTATTTTAGCTATTGTCTGCAATATAAGAAGTATGCGACTATAGAATGCGAACCAAAGCAGTAATCTTCATTATTGTTCGTTCTTGTTCTTTATTTTTCTGAGTACAATCTTGTAACTATCGGTTAACCATTTCCACTATTATCGATCGCACTTTCTCTTTTCGACAGCATTCTTCATTTTCCAAACACACTATTCTTCCACATCGTTTCTGTATACGTTGAACAAAATCCACTGAATCTCAAGTTTTATTTTTCAGTCACTTAGATATTATTGTTATAAATATGTAAATTTCTACTTTAAATAAATTCGTATATCCATATATACTAAATTCGTGTACTTGTAATCAGATTCTTTCTGTTTGATCCTACGCCTTGCAACGTTTTATCAAATTTATGTGATTTTTCCTTCGACTTAATATTTTGAAAAGCCAAAGATAACAAGAGATCAAAGGATGCTTACACTATGATTTCCATTACAGTTTTTCTCTGTTCCGAGATTTTTGATATTCAAACTCTTAATTTTGTGGGAGAAGCTAAATCATTGTTTCTCAGACTTTTCTTTGAAGCCAAAAATGTATCCGGAATTATTAATTCCGAACTATGTCTGGATATCATATCAGAAAGAATATATTAAGTCAGCGATATCATGGGGATACTATCTGTCATCACCAATATCGACTTCTGTTATCAGTCCTTACAATTGAATTTGTCCCATCAGATGCGGGCCTCTTTATACTATTAATCTGAACATATATTCAGTATGTTCCACGGCACACACAGTTTTGAAGTATTTTTTGAAGAAATGGGGAAATGTATAGGTATGTGACGAGTTTCCGGTTCGATGTAGGTCAAGTTGTGATCAATCTGAACAAGTTAAAGGTTACGATGGTCGTTGACACTGACGGAATTAATGAAGTGAAACGATTCAGGAAGCGATAGGAGACGTGCGGACTAACCCTCTTTTCCTTACAGTTTGTCGAAAGTAAATCTCTATCTGAACAAGTAAAGATCAATTTGAAGATCGATTGCTCAGTGAGCGACTGGGCAATAGAGTTTTAACCATCACTGAGTACAGGAAATGTCCTGACGAGATGTAATACGAGGTGGAGGGAATCACGAGGTACGGATACAGATGGTAATAATGAGTCCCTCAGATTTCCATAGGTAGAAGTCCTCCCACCTAAAGATGTTAAAGGGCCGCTAAGCACCACAGCCAGGGAATGTCCAACAAACAGGAAGACATTGTTGCATAGTGACCAGTGGGAGGCGGGAAGGCGAGAGCGAGGGAAAGGAGTGCATGCGTATTGAGCAGCGTCCGAGATGATGAATTTAGTTTTAGGTTGTCAGGTAAGGAAGGGATTGTTTCGTAAGTGCAGAGTGATGTATCGAAATAGAAGCAAACCAGTGTATTCGTGCCTTTTTTGAACTTCATTCCTTCCTTTTACTCCACTTTTACATCCAATGAGTAAGAGTGGAATGCAGTTGTGAAGTTAAGAACATCAAGTTTTAAGCGATTTCATGTATTAGATATTGTACAAGTGAATACAACTATTTATTTTTCTTTTAGCTTCTATCCATCACTTAATCTGCGATCTCCTTTGAAATATGGGAGATGTTCCGCAGTGTGTATTGTTTGAACATGCCGTTGGATATGTTTTGTTCCGTGTTACGGAATTCGAAGATATCGGAATGAGTATTCCGCAGGTTCTTTTTTCTATTTCTAAAAGAAAACATCTTTCGTGGTTTTTGTTTTTTCAGGCTCTTGTCTTCAAATTTTGTTTACTGATGCAAACAACATTTCAGGTGGAGGAGTCTATCGTTGATGTACAACGGTTTTGCTCAGTTGTTAAAGTACAAGCTTTTGAACCTTTTAAAAACACTGAATCTGCATTGGAGAATTGCTACAGCATATCAGAAGGTAATTTATCTTCCTTCATAGACATTCATATAATGAATTTAAGAATTTTATGAAACGACTGATAACAAATATAAGGCATACTTGATGCTTTAACGTTAGTTTTTTGCCTGGTTATTTTTATTGATTCCTCTTTTTTAGATTAATATTCATACTTAGTTCAAGCTTTTAATTGAATAAAAAATTTTAAAATGCTGTTGGGACTACAAAGAGCAAGGCATTTTTTAGGCCAGCTTCATCCAGATTTGCTTAATTTTCTGGAAGCAAATTTACCAAGAAAGAAAAAGAAAATAGTTACACTTGCTGTTGGTGATTCGAGATTGGCCAGCGCTATAAGCGAACAAATTACCGGTATAAAATGTCAGATTTCTGGAATTGTTCCAGAACTTATGCGTGGTATACGCATGCATCTTGAACATCTTGTTAAAGGCTTACCTCATCATTCGCTTTCAAAAGCTCAGCTTTCACTTGGTCATGGTTATTCGCGGAAAAAGGCATTCATTAACATATATTATTCAATTAATTTTGGGGTTAAAAGAAGGGGTTCTACACTTAATACTCGTTTCGCACTCCCCCGTATATTATAGCTATAGGAAATTGTGGATTTTGAAGGTTAAATTCGATATTCATCGCGTGGATAATATGGTTATCCAATCAATTGCACTTTTGGATCAGCTTGATAAAGATATTAATCTCTTTGGGATGAGGATTCGAGAATGGTAAGTCTAGAAAAAAAATTTAACTTGATGCTGCAGAGCTAAATAATTGGAGGGATTTTTTTCCTGAAGAATTTATGAGGGATTTTTTTCTTCGAAATAATGGGGAATTTAAAAAATTTGGTTTCCAGGTATTCATATCATTTTCCCGAGCTTTTTAAATTGGTTCCTGACCAGATTAATTATATAAGATGTGCGTTCACTATAATGGATCGAAAGAATCTTGATGATGAGGTAGTCGGAAAATTGAATGGTTAGTGATTGTAATTTGTTTGTATTTCTCACATTAATTTGAGAGCTGATTCAAACAGCAGTTTATTGCAAGTACCACATTGTGAAAACTTTATTGTTACGTTCATCGCTAAATACTAGCGATGAACATAACAGTGAAGTTTCATTTCTAAATCGGAACCTCTCTACTCGTCGAGAAATGGAATTTGTTCAAGAAAGCCTAACATTATCTATGATTTATGATCATTAAAAAAAACTAAGGATAACCGAAATATGTTATAGCTCAGAATTTGAGTTTTCCTGAAGTGAAGCACTTTTCATTTGTGAGAGGGAAATTAATGAATTGGCTATTAAAGTGGCAGAGATTATGAACGCTGTTCGCTGTTCATAATCTCTGTCGCTTTAATAGCCATTTCATTAATTTCCTATGAGATATGCATTTTCGGAAGCTCGAAACAAGTTTAGTTTATGGGTCTTGAAGCAAATATTATTCTGGTTATTATTCTGGTAAATATCGGCAACTCGTGCAGATAATTTATCATTGTAGTTGAATTAGAATGGTTGAATTGTTAGCATCATGAGTGTAATGTAGCTCAATTGTCTTCAGAAATTTTGGAAGATAATGACAAAGTAGCGGAAATAGTGGAAGCTGCACGAACATCGATGGGAATGGATATTTCTGATCTTGATTTGTATAATGTTGATCGCTTTGCAAAGCGTGTTGATGAATTGACAGCTTATCGCCAGAAACTTCATTCATATGTCAAAGAACGTATGCATTCATGCGCTCCTTCACTTTCGGCATTAATTGGAGAACAGGTAATGAAATTTTGGTCAAAGGAAATCGCATATCGTTTCAAGACGATGTAAAAGTAAATAATGGGTTCCATCTTTTCAAAATCATGGGATAAAATTTTTTTAGCTCAACTTCATATCATTGCTTTCCGTGATCAACTTCAATGACATCTTACATTTCGAGTATTTTAGTAACCCTTTAATGCTTTATTGGTTATTTTCAGGTAGGTGCTCGTCTGCTTTCACATGCAGGAAGTTTAACTAATTTAGCAAAATATCCGGCATCAACTGTGCAGATACTTGGGGCTGAAAAAGCGCTTTTCCGTGCACTAAAAACTAGATGTATGTTGCTTTCTTTTATTCAGTTCTCTGTATTAGATTGTCAGCTGTCTCGTGCTGCGTTTAAAATCATTTTGTTTACTATTCGTCATTACTAGCCTTTTTATTTATTTTTAAAAACCGAAGTGCCTATATATTTTTCAGCAAATACACCGAAATATGGTCTCCTCTTCCATTCTTCATTTATTGGTCGTGCGTCAACCAAAAATAAAGGCCGCATATCACGTTTTCTTGCAAATAAATGCTCAGTAGCTTCTCGTATTGACTGTTTCTCAGATATACCAGTGGCTACATTTGGTGAACACCTCAAACAGCAGGTTTGGCATGACATTATTAATGATGATAACTATTTCAAAGATTTCATCAAATAATTCATATGGAGATTGTTTGATGAAATCTTTGAAATTAGACTTGAAATTATAAATCCTTCAGTTTACCGTGATAGTTTTGTTGAGCGCTTTTTGTTCGATGGAATCAAACGATTATCTAACATATGATATCTAACATACAATATCTAACAATTCTTATCAAATTTGTCTAAGTGTCTGATGTCTTAGGTAGAAGATCGTTTGAAATTTTTGGAAAGTGGTTCAATTCCAAAAAAGAATTTGGAGGTAATGAAGGAGGCTATTGAAGAAGCAGCCACTACAAAAATAAAGGTTAAGCCATGTTTATTCACTTGTAGGAAGATGTTGTTTAAAAAAATCATTGAAACATGTTTTTTTGCAATTGATTTATAGGAATTTCTTTTGGTTTTATTCATAGATTTTGAAAAAAAGGAAGAAAGAAGCAAAAAGGGCTAAAAGAGCAGCTGAGCAGCAAGCATGTGAAGATTTTGATATAACACAGGAGTCTCAGCCAGATGCCGATGTAATGGAAATAGATGAAGGAATTGCTGAAAAGGTATAGAGATATTGTTACTTCATTAATGGCTCCAAATTCGTTTTTTTTAGTTATTCAAGCGTAATTGTAAATTTTCACAGATGACCGTTGAAATTTTTTCACGTGCGATGTTCAAAGAGGATAACATTTTAATCTTTTTTTGGCGAATATTCAGATTGAAATTAGTTGTTTAGCGCATTTAAGACGATTCCATACTATTTTTCCGTTAAATGAGACAGTTTCAAAGTTTCCATGAATCATTTTTCAGAAAGCCAAAAGGCCGAAGTTGGTGTTACATGAAGATATGAATATTGAACAGAAGGCGCATAATGATGAGAACATTGCAGACAGTCATAAAAAGAAAAAGAAAAAAGGAAGTTCGAAGTCCGTAATAATTGAATCCATTCACTCGGAGGAACACGGTATTAATTTTGTTTCTCTGTGTATTTTTTAAAGTCTAGTCTATGTCTATTAATGAATTATGTGGGCACTTTTTGTTCATTTTAGCAGATAGCGATATAAATTCACTTTTTCTGGACTAAGAAATAATTAACTTCCACAGTTTCTATTAATGAGGTACTTAAACTAAACTTGTTCATCGTATTCATTAATGAAGTTGAAGTAGTTTGCCCGTGTTATTGAACTTAAGCCTGTGTTGCATATATATATGATTTATGAAAGGAATTACTTGTTTAGGAGAAGTGAGTGGAGAAGGCAGTTCAAAGAAAAAAAAGAAGCTAATGAAGAAAGGTGATCTAGAAGAAACAGGAAATGATGATTTACTCGAACGTCCTCAGGGTGCACTTTCAACTTTAAATGGGGGAGGAAGTCACAAAAAGAAAAAAAAGAAATGTTCAATGGAGTAAATGGAATCGTATTGTGTATGCGCTGGTTTCTTTTCGGTTGTTATTTGCTTTTTTATTCAATGTTAGTTTTTCCGGGCTTGGAAGTTATTTTTCTTAAATTTTAAAAGCATAAGTTTGAGGTTTAATGACAAGATTTAAGCTGCTTATTTGGAAGTCGGAGCTTTTCACCAAAAATTGATTTATTGCCAATATGTTAAGTTTTTAGTTCATTCTGAGTTGTTAAAACTTGATATCTGGAACAATGCTCTTCCATGATATCTGAAAAATTTGAAAAACTTGTTAGAAGTTTGGAAATACTGCATCTTATTCAAAAAACATTGTATTTTACAAGGTCGTATATTTTTATTTCAAGATAAAAGAAATAAATTTGTTGAAAGTTGTTCATTGACATTGCGTTTACTTTCATGCTTGTCAGGAGAATAGAATAATATCATTTAATATGAGCTGTGTAAGATAGTAATTTTATGCTATCTCCGATTTATGCGAAAAGGTTTCATTATTTAGCTGATTTTATATGGAGCAATTTAGTGGAATTAACCTAAGGGAGATCCAAATATATTTACATCTCGTTTTCTATTAATTGGTTTTGTTTAGTTATGTAGTAATAATAGATGTAAAGCTTGACCAGAAATGGAAATTTATCTAATATCCAGCGGTAAGATAGAATTGAGCTTTGCATTTCCGTCTCATAAAATAATTATAAAATAAATACCTCATATCGAGGCATTATTTTCCTGGGATGAGAAATTGAAAATTGAATCAATGAATCTTTGAAACTGAAGTGGACATTTGTCATTTTTGAGTATCCCTAATAGTGCTTGTAGAGACATCTTGTTTTACACGTTTCCAGATTTGAGGATTATATCGCTTTTATTTAATAATTTTGTGGAAGACAAATTGGGCTAAATAGAATAGGGGATTTATTAGTAATGACATATTCGGCATATTCATTATTTTCTAGTTGGATACGAGCTTTTTCAGTGTAAGAGATAATCTCCCCAACGGAAGCCCATTGCTTGCGGTTCCGTTAAAACTTCTAGACTCTCATTTTACTAAGAAGTGATGCAAGTAAAATATTGTGGTTTGGAATTTTACGACACCATCCTTATACGTTGTACATGAGAGTTTTAAACGCCTCTCTTGGCAGAGACGATGGGTTGAAAGCTTGTGGCCAATAGAACTCCGATAGTAATTGCTTTCTCTACGGCCACTTCTTGGGCTCATATGCTAAGGATCGATACTGCAGTGGCTTCTGATATTCAGCAGGACGCACTCATCCACACATCAACATCGATGTATACACATTCCGCATCTGCAACAAATTTACGGACAAGAAAGTATACTTTGATGACCAATTTCTTCACTATCTCCACTACAGTTATGTTTTTGTTATTCTAATGTTATCTTTTGTCAAATTTGTGCAAAATATTCAAGATTCATGATGACCTGGACAAGTAAGTTATTTAATTTTGATTTGTTTTCGTTCTGAAGGTACAACTATTGATGATAGGCGGTATATTTGATAACATCTCTTCAATTCACTCTTCTTTTATTCTTTTAAAAATGAATATTATTGGACTGACAATTACTTGTGGATATTTCCATTTATTCTCTTTTCTTTTTAGTGTTCTTTTTTACCCAATTACTTATTTCATTAAAAATTTATTTTTAAAATATATTTATCAGAAATTATTATATGCCCTTTTTTGGATGATTCCTATCAATTGTAAGAACTTTAGAGGATGAAAGGTTGAGAGTATGAGTTTGGTGAAGCATACTGGTTTGTGATCCGAATATTGCTGTTAAGATTCATTATTACCAGTAATGTTAAACCAATATGCATTGACTTCAAAGATTTTATTATTAAACCGCGAGGAATAAAATTGGTTCTCTGGAACCCGAATAACCATTTGTTTCATCATGCGGCAGTAAACTTGCTAATGGTAAAGCAGAATAGTCACAGCAATATAACATGCAGTAATTATCGTAATTGAAGTTATCTGAAATTAAGAAGATGCACAATAAGAATCTTATTTCACCAATGATCTAAATACTTGATCATAATTGAAAACATGCGAGAATTGCAAATTTCAACAGTTGAAAGTTTGCCGTTTGAGTGGAAGAAAAAATAATTACGATATTGCCGATTAATAAGAAAATAATGTGGATGAAAATTTGATTATATGATCTATACAGGAATTTTGTAGAACGTCAAATGCTAAACAAATATTGAATAATTTGAGAAAATTACAAACTTATATTTTAAGCGGAAATCGCTTGTTTGTCAAAACGACAGGTTGAACCTTGTGAGGTCATAATAACACACAAGTCGTTTTCAGAAGGTATAGACGGTAGCAACCTTTCTGAGATATACCTTCCATTCTTTTTTTCATATTCATTAAGCAGTATTTTTCTATTTCACTTAAATATTTGGCTTGTAATATTTTCACTGTAAATTTCCCCATGCATTTTAAGTTTGAACTTAAATATTAGTATCATAGGAACTTATTTTTTCCTTTTATTATGGTTCAAGTAAACACAGTTTTGGAATTTCATGAAACGTTCCTTTTCAGTTGTTAACGTTGAAGCAGTAGCAGCATTTCTCAGTGGTTAAAATTACAAGTAAAACAAATAATTCTGGCCCGATTTGGACGATATGGCTGCCCAATCGGTATATGTTGATTTATTGCTTTTTTACGAAATTAATTGATTATTTGATTGCAAGTTACTAATGAGAGGGAAAATTCTCGACGCAGGCCTTTGGATCATAACTCTTACTTCTTTGTTGCGGCATTATTGAGTAATGCAAGTTATGCGATAGCCTATACAGTGATATTCCAAGAACTTCGGAAAGGCTTTTGATAGTAGTAACTTTAAAAGGAATGCGCAAATTATATTGTTAATTAAACAGATGTAGTATTGGATTCGACCGCAGAAGTTATTTCTTGCTTTTTTCAATCACCAAAATCTTTCATTTATTCTACCGATTGATTTTCAAGTTTTTAAGTATCACTGAATTGAAAAGTTCATAGAAACCAATCGATAGACATATTTTTAAGCACTGGTTTTTTTTGGAGTAAAGCAAATATTTAAAAGAAGTTACTGGATCGACGGCAGAAATTATTTTTGTCTTTTTTGCAAAATGCGTATTGCTGTAGAACAGTTATTTAGGATCATGATTTTTTAATTTGAACTGATTTTTGAGAGCGGCCGAATACCAGATCACACTTCGGATTATCGAATTGCTGTGTTTGGTGCCGGTGGTGTCGGCAAATCATCCATCGTATTACGCTTTATCAAAGGAACATTTAATGAAAACTACATTCCAACTATCGAAGACACTTTTCGACAGGTTAGTTTTTTTAGCAAATTGAGGTAAGAAAATTAATTAATTTTATTCGAGTAAAATTTATGCTATTTCAATAGTCTGAATTGAGAACTGAGCTTTGAAGAAATTCTAAATACAATAAAGAGAGTAGAAATTGTGCATATTAAGAAAAAAAACTTAAAATATGGAATTTAATTTACGTTTAAGTATTAAGTTATTCAAATGCTTTAAATCGATCTGTTGATTGGGTTGACGATAATAGTGACATTATCTTATTAACTAAGTAATTAACATAGAAGCATCTTAATTTGCTCAAAAATTCTACATCTAAGTTTAACTTCATTGCTTCAACTACCAAATCATTTTCATTCATATGGGAATGAATCAGACTTTAGTAATAATGATCGTTCAATAATAATCGATTTATTTTTCCCTTTAAAAACTCATTCCCACTTTCTCTTTAATTTAATACTAACATTGTGATTCGAGTAATTAATTAATGTTTAAAGAAAAATTTATTTGTTTAAAATGACAAACTAAAATTCTTGCAATTCATTCAGTAAAGAAATAATTAATGAAAATTATTTCCTAAGTGAAATTAATGAAAAGAAGAGAAATTATGCATGCAATCTTACTCAACGTATAGTATTCATATAGTTCTTTCTATATGAATATTGTTCACAATAAATGGCTTATAAAATTACTTCGCTAACAAGCAACAACAGCAACAATAACCTCTGATAAACATATTATGATATAAACAATGGGCGAAGCAATTGTATTCAATTTTGGACAATGTTTTCAAATTATTTTGGCCGAAAGTAAATATTAATTAGAAATATTATTTATAGGTAATAAGTTGTAATCACAAGAATGTATGTACATTACAAATTACCGATACAACAGGTAGCCATCAATTTCCTGCTATGCAACGACTTTCTATTAACAAAGGAAATGCTTTCGTACTGGTATATTCTATTACGAGGTTATTCTTATTTTTATAAATTTCATCTTTCTATTGTGATTTTATGGCCAACTGTGAAAGTGTATGTTATTTGCACAGATATTGCTTTCAATATTTATAATTAAAATGAATCATTATTATTGTAAAGACTTTTTTATGTTTATATTGCAACTATAATGACAACTATAATGCTTTATACTTCAACATTTGAATTTTCAGCAAGCAAAGTTTGGAGGAACTTGGACCCATAATACTGATGCTAAAGGAAGTGAAAGGTGAAAGCGTTACTGAAGTGCCTATTATGCTTGTTGGCAATAAAAAAGATGAAGATCAGGTAAAATAATCTATTTTGCTAATTTTCTAGTTAAGCTAATTCTGGGAAAACGATTCATTATATTTATTATTTGATTAAATTTATTTCTATGATTTAAATAGAGAAGCTTAAAATAATATTATACTTTGGATAATTTAAGAGTCTAAAATTGCTAAAAGTTTTCAGTTACAATATATTACTGTTCAAAATAGAGATTAATTTGCTCCAAAAAAAATGTTTGTAAGAGAATATGCTGAAATTTTAGATCCATGATGATCATTAGCAATTTGCAATTATCTTATAATTAGGAAAGAAAAAGATAACCATCACAATCTTACATAGACGATTTATTTCTATCAATCGATGATTGGAAGATTTTTGTTGCTAAAATTTCATCTATTTCATTTAATCCTAAATGAAGCGTGCAAATTTTCAGCGTCGTGAAGTAAGCTTCGAACTTGGACAAAAGTTGGCTACAAAGTGGGGAACTGGTTTTATCGAAACGAGTGCTAAAGATAATGAAAATATCACCGAACTATTTCAACGCTTGTTGGCGATGGAGAAGAAACGAACTTTGACATTGACGATGGATGAAGAGAGCGGTAAAAGTAGCTCGAAAAGGAAATGCTCTCTCATGTAGCTATGTTTATCTTTTGAAAAGTTGTCAACTTTTCGAATTTCAGATTTAAATGTTTTATAAGTCATTTTACTAAGGAAAGTGTAATTGATATTCTGCAGATGGTGACAGATGAAACGAAGTACTTTTCTCTATATCTATTCAGTCAACTAAATGATATAGAATTCCTTTGGTGCTCGAAACTGTATTACTCTTCCGTTTTTATATTATCTGTTGTTATTTTTTGTGACTTTACAGGTAGCATTATATTATTACTATATTGGTTATTTTCGTTAATTTTCCAAATCATAATCTTTTGTTTAGTCTCATGAAAGTGGAGTTAATGATGGCACATTTATGATATAATCATTTTCTCAACTTTTCGCAACTGAATTTAATGCATATCTTGTTTGATAAATAATAAGGCCTGGTTCAATTTAGATCGAATGAATCAACCATAATGGTGTTCAGCATCATAGCGCTTATTACTTACTATTGATGTGAATGTAGATTGTGATCACAATTGTTTGTCTCGTTACTTCTTATTGTCAATATTTCAGCTTGAGAGAGCCGCCACCGACAAACTTCAGTAACACTAGACATTTATTATAATCAGCTGCTAACAAATTTCGAAAACCAGCTCAAAACTGATTTAGTAGATATGTCAAACTTCAGGCGGTTGGGAGGAAAGCCATCTTCTCTCCATGCATTTACTTCGTATCTTTTAAGTAGTACACTTTCGACTGCTTATACGATCATTGATGTTATTCAACAGCCAAACACTTCCTGGCCTAATTGAAATTGCTAAATCTGACAATATTTTGTACATTTCAATCAATCATTATCAAGTGTGTGTCGCATACATGTCATATATTAAAAAACAAACTTCGAAAAATGTTGGCAACCTGCAGTCTGCAACGTCGACATAATATTTGCAAACATGTAAGATTGGTCTATAAAATGGTCCTTCGGAAAGCTTTTCGGAAAAATAAAATTTCCACAATAATTACAAAAATTGCAACTCTAGAGACATTGTATTTTCTTCTGTTATGATTTATATAATAATTCTAGAATTTCAAAATCATTCCCAAACTGATCTAATAATGACAACGTGTGAAAAAGAAAGATTAATGGTAGATAGAATGGATAAAACAATCAATTAACAATGATAAGCATTAAAGGTTGCATTCCACCGTAATCAAAATACGCAATTCATACAATATTTTCAAATATCCCACACCTAGAATTTCAAAATTATTCCCGAACTAGATTAAAAATTAAAAAATCACTGAAAAAAAGAACAGAAAAATGAACTAAGATCAACAGTTAAAGTTTTGCATAGTGGATCTGCAAAATTATGCCAATCATTCCTGAAAAATGAGATTGTACTCGACACGAAATGTGCAAAAGAAATAATTGCACCAATTAAAAAAGACTGCAGATGTTTGTTTTTAGGAACTTCCTATCAAACAACACCATGATAGAGCAGAAATAAATCCTATATATATTCACTTTAAAACACAACCCATGATTTCACTGCGTAAAAATCCTTAACTGATCGATATTTTCTTTATGTTTTAAATTGTTAGTCATCAAATAGTGTGGTTTTCTTTAGTTTAGAAATTTCACTTCCTGAAGCCTTTAAAAGTCAGAGAAGATAATAATTAGAAAGCAGTTGAGTAAAGGAGCAAACTCACTGGATTTTAAACTCAAGACATGCTGATTTCTGTGACACAGGAGTTTTTCTGTCGAATTTAAATTGTACGAGAAACAAAATAGTTTAAACCTTAAATTTAGATCCTGAAAAGCCAAAAAGTCGAAACATCTAAAAAGTGATATGGAGCTAATGCTGCTACTAATCCGCAACATATAAAGAATTTGTGAAATGTAGGAAGGCTAGAAAATATGCATTTTTCGCGCAAATTAGTTATTCACTTTGAATGTCCCTTTCTCTTTCTCGTTCACCATTTTCACTACCAGCAGCACCGTCAAAACGTAACCGTCCACCAGCTAACAGTTGTCGAAAAAGGATTGTAACATACACCAAAACAACAAATGCGATAAAAATATCATCCACCATACCAAGTACACCAAATGCTGCCTCCGGCAATATATCAAACGGACTTAAAATATAGATGGCCATACCGAAAAGACATAAAAAAACACGAATCCGAAACATAAACATCAATCCATTGACTGAAACTATGGCACGGAATATATACGGAACTAGTACAGGCAAATCCCGAATATAATCGATAACCTGAAAAAAAGAGTAGTGAACTAATGGAAATATTAGAAGCAGTAATAAAGAGACAGATGTTCAAAATGAAGGAAGCAATTCTATCCTTCAGTTTAAAGTCCATTAAAGTTTGATTACACCGTGAATTCGTGATCTTCACTGTCTCCATATAATAAGTGAATAACAGTAATTAATCCACGTTTTGATTAAAAAGGTTGTAGGAATATGAGATGAGTCATTCAAGAAGTAGAAAGTATTATGGGTATGTAAAATATGCCAAAAATAATACAACTAAATCGCAGCAATAATGGCGTGATATTTTGTTAATATATATTTGATGAATCAGTCCTAAAAATTTCTTTCATCCATTTCATTGCCACAAACAAAATCGAGTTCAGAAAAATAAGAAAGAAACTCACTGGTCTCCTTTCACTGGAAAACCTTCGATTATAGTCAGTTAGCCGTTCATCACATCGTAATGCTTCATCAGCATTATTTTCTCTTTCCCCTTCTACCGGTAAAGGTATCAGCAAATTAACCTGCAATGTAAGTCAAATTTAATAAATGATCAAGAAATAATTAATTTTGCAAAATTGCTGATCCTCTATAAAATTATCATTATGGAATATTAAAACAGTGCATCGTAAGTAAATTGCCGAAACATACAATTTCTCTGCATACTGCACATTTTACAGGTGTTATTAACGAAGCGCTATACTGCCAGTATCCATAAATGCAACTACCTGCAAATTACACTTTCACTAATTTTCATATTTTCATATAAGTGAAAAATTAGGATCAAATTACGAATTTAATATAATTTACAATCGCTGAACCAAAACTCCATTAAAAAATGGTACCATAAAAATCTAAGAACTCACAACAAAATAGATGGCCGCAGTTTGTAATAACAGCAAATGAAGCCTGGCTAAAACATATTGGACAAGTACGATCATCATCAAATCGCCGTAGTAATCCCAGCCTATTCTAAAACTCACAAAACAATCACACTGATGAACGCTCCATAACTGCTTCGACAAGTAATACATAATCTTGTGGTATTTATGGAATAATTTATGTCAGTAAAAATGAAAACATTTTGATAAGAAGCTAAAAGAACTTACATCGCTTGTATTAGACTGTGATTCCTCTGTATGAGTAGTACCACCCGAAAATGAACGTCTGAAATCAGATACAGTCGATTCCAGAGTAGGATGAATATTCCTTTCCTGACGCCTAAAAAGAGAGTAAGTTATCGTCCAAATAGATTAAAATTATATCAAGACCGACCATTGATAGCTTTGCTTTCTTTAGAATGCAAAAATAAGAAGTCTGCAAAAAGAGGGAAAGTAATTATTAGATTTAAACAACAGGAGGCGAAAGAGGTGAAAAACATACTATATATTATTAAAATTGTAATAAAAATAAATACGAGAAACTTAATCTTACCGACAATATGCAAAATAGATTACACCAATAACAGCACATAAAAACGTAAACATCATAATGATTTCATTGTCAAAACCTGAAAAAGTATATACTACGCAACGTTTAAATTAATTTTCATCCAACTAAATAAATTTGTCCATTTCTCAACTAAATAAATTTGTACAAGTTTCAAGAAAAAGGTTGACTTCTCTCAAACAATCCTCAAAAACATAGTGAATATAAATAATCCTTCCTCTCACTCTTATCCCGAGAATGAAAAATCATAAGAGAGAAGTATTATATAACTGCTGCATATAGTCAACCATTTCGCATTTTCTTCAAGTATTACCTGAGACGTACGTGATATGTTGAACATAAGATTTACCTTCAATGAACTTGAGTTCCGCAACACCAGCATGCACCATCGCCACTTTCATCAGTTCCAATACGACAGCGTTTCGATCACACATTTTGGAAAAGAATAATTATCATGACGAACACCGACTATTTTAAACTGAAAATACTTACTTGCAAATAATCTAGCAAACTTTTTACATTGCAATTATCTGATAAACTTTTTGCACTATATTTACAGAATTGATGCCAATTTCTACCATTTTGTATCATTCAGAATAGACAAAAAATAAAAAAGAATAATTAAAAGCGATTAACACAACAAACTCCACACCTTCTAGTTCAAAAATCTATTTTGAATTTTTGCGATTAGATAAACTTTAGCCTAAATATCATCCATAGCAGTATAATATGCTTGTTAGATACTATCAAAGCGGAAGGAAATTAAATCCTGAAAGTCAGTCCGAACCACTAATAACCTACAAACTGGCGTTGACATGTTCATAACTGGCAGAAAGTGAGATCAATATTGAAACATGTATCAACAGTATGAATCAGCATCAACGGATCAGGTTAAACGCCATGTCTACTGCAAACATGGTATGAAAAAGATGAAAGACACTGTCACCACACGTTATTTCCACCCAAGTCTCGTTCACTTTACAATCCTACCATTGTTTTTGTTCTCTTCTCTCACATTAATTAACGAAAAATAAGTAAGATATTTGCACATTGGGGAAAGGCGGCGGGGAGAGTAGAGCTTCTCCGACAGAAAGTCTTTATGGCGGTTCTGTTCATTGATACGAGAAGGACCGTATCTTACCATTTACTGTTTTTATCACTATTTTACAAAGGATTCATATTCGTTCCAAATAATATTTAATTTCTATTTAGTATTTAATTAGGCCAGAAAGAATCACTGAGATTAACAGTTGATGTAATGATTAGAAGTTGAAAGAGACTTAAAATTTAAAGAAATTATCAATTTTCATCAAGAATGCAAATTTGCTGTTGCTCTAAATGCAGAAAATTATCCTTCTTGAAAAGTAAATTTTGAATGAGTAGGTAGAAAAAAAGATTCATTAGAATCAGTATTTACTTTATGCACTGAAATCCGAAACGCAATCTGTAATAATTTGATAATCTTTCACGAAATATGTTAATTACTCGATACTTTCGCTATAAACAAACTATCGTACATATACAAACTTTTATGATCTTAGTATAAATCTTACAAGAAAACAAGTATAAATCATAACCGTAAGTGAAGTATGATTACTGGAAATTCCCTTCAACTTTTTTTACTCACCAAGTTCTCCTTCAACTTTCGGAACCGATCTTTGGTACCCTACTACTGATTATAGCCAATTCCGGATGTTAGCTCAGTTCTAAAGGTTCGACAATACTCATAAACAAAGAATTATTGCATTTAATTTTCAAGACTTAGTCATTTATATCCATGCATCTTATTTCCTTTAAATTAAGCAAAGACGTAATCGACAATGAGACATGTTTTTTAATTTACCCGCTTTTATATAATTTTCCTATTACTTTATCTACCTCACTTTATCGCCGCCATTGTCAATATCGTATATTCACTCTTATTCTACTTTGTATCATTATTTTATCCTTCAATTCCTTGTTTTCTTTATCCCATCTTACCTAGTCATTTGAACTTCTTTTATGGTCAGAAATAGATGAAGAAATATTTCTGATAAGTAAATAAATAAATCATCAGAGTTCCCTCCCCTAACATACTACCATACTTCTATCATACTACCATACTCTTCTACCATACTTCTAAATTGAAGCGTATTGGATTAAACTCACACAAAAGTAAAAATAAATTCCATTTAAAATAGAATGGAAGAAGACATTCTTAAACAAGTTTGAATTTAATCAAAGTTCGCTCGATCTTGTTTTTTTTTTATGATACTTTGATTATGCACTATTCAAAACACAGATACGTTCACCGATCTTAATTGGTGTTTATCAACAAAGCATTGTCACACATTGATGAAAATAAACGAGTGAACAGAGGTTACCGCCAATCGATGAATATTTTCCGAATTATTATACCTGAATAAAAGTTATAACATGGAAAAAGAACTTAAATGTAGACAAAATTGATTTGGTTAGACTCATTAACAATCTACTTCGCATATTTCGATACTATTCGAAGCACAACAACAAGATCTTATGACGAAAAATTGAAATCTATCGAAAACTAACAAAATTTTCCTTGAGAAAGGTTAGTCTAAAACTAATAGCAAATAAAAAACAGCAATCATCAGTTAAATTAACATCCTAGATTCTCAAACTTTTTTTATAAAGATTCCTTTAGAGTGAAAATGTAGCAAAATAATATCAACGTCATACACTAATGAAAATAAACAAGAAAACTAAAAATGTATATTTTTAAAGTTCTAGTTGAAGAATACAGTAGAAACACACAGAAGAAATGAAGGTTTTTCACCAACAATGTTTCACCCGTTTCAAATATTCAAATCTTCTATAAACGTAAATTTCATTTACACTGACCTACGGTCGACAATAACACAGCAAAATCACCTGCACGAAATACAAAATTACCATCAATCTTAATCAAAAATTAGTCGTATCTTGTTGATTCCAATTTATCCTTTGCTTCGTTAATTTTTGCAGCCAAATAAGGTGAACCACCACGATCAGGATGATTGGCAATCATTATACGTTTATGTGCTTCCTTCACTTTCGATGCTGGAGCATTGGATGATACACCAAGGACTAGCGCTGCTTCACGTCGTGTCATAACGGGCTCGAAACCACCACGATAATATTTTGACATATTATTTGCAACCGGCAATGTTTTCGCCATTTTCAGAAATGCCGCACGATTTCGCAGCATCATACGTCCAGCTAATCCAATAGCTACCAAACCAACACCACCAACGATGAGTGTGGATGACATCTTTAGATCCACCCGAATTTTAAAATCATATAATTTTCACTGAAAATATATTCCATTTTACTAAACTATCAAAACTGATTTAGTTTATAGTGAACAATACTTAAAACCATATATTTATTGAAAATTGAAGTAAAAGATATTGACTGTGTAGATACATCTTCGTTATTTCGCCGTTGGAGGGAAACTAATCAAAATTTAAAATACTGAATTTCGAAACCTGATTTTCTCAATGATAATTCTAGGAGAAATTTTATAATAACTGATGAAAAATAATTCCCACAGCCGCCAAACATGGATTCTAATTAACATAAGGAATCAAAGAACTTTCGTTCATTCTTTTATTAGAAATAGTAGTATTACAGTTCATGCAGATTCAAACTTCTGCCGTACGAAATTCGACTTCCGAATAAAATAATTTATTTTTAAAGCTCATCACAGAGAACAATAAATAACGAAAGCTAAACAAATGAATATAAATATAAACAAATCACAACAAATGAAAGAACTGGTCAGAGGATAGTAAATAAATTGAAAAAAAAGTAAATTTAAATAGAAAATCATAGCACAATCAAAAATCTAATTAAAGAGAACTCCTAATCGTTGTTTTCATGGATTATACATTTAAAACATCAGACCACTTTTCATCCAATTTTGTTTGCCTTCCTTCTTTCATTTTTTCCATTCTTAAAATTGTTAGGAGAAAGTTCTCTCCTCTTCCACATCTCTTGTAACTTCATTCACATTTAGCATGGATCCATTACAACGCGGTGTAATCCGGACTCCAACTGCTTCCAATACTTCAGTTAACTTTCGGGAGTAGTCCAGGTGGCCTTTTATCTACAAAAGAGAATAAATTCATAACGTCACAGCAGATACTTAACTATGTGTTTTTCTTATCAAATGCCTTATATAAAGAAAACTATATCAAATTATCTTTATTTTTGGGAAAAGTAAACGAACTAAGTGAGAAAGATTGAAATTGACAATTTTCTTTTCCATTTTGCATATCACAGGACCCGTCCCAGCAATCGTAAATTGTACATTCATTGTACGATAAATAAACCTGAAAAGTTGACAATTACACCAAATTTAGAATTCAGAAACAAATATAAGATTCACACCATTTTGGGAATTGACTGCCAAACTATATTAATAATTTTAAAATAAACTAAGTTAAAATCATGTTTTTTTCTTGCATGTTAAATAAGAAAAAAATGAAAATATGAAAATCTGACCTAAGTAACCAATCGCTGTTACAATAGCCATTTATAATTCGTCCTCCAACAACTTGACTTATTTGCTGCCATTGAGTGGGTGAGGCTGTTACAGGCGCGCCAAGAAGTACCACATCATTAATTATTCCTGGAATCTTCTTTTTTAATTTTATATCAGTACAGGAAAAATCAAGCCATTTGAGATGAGAAAAAGTTCTCCAGCCTACAGTTAATAATATCAGTATCGTTTAGAATGTATTACTTCTTCAAATCTATAATTAACTCGACCCGTACAAACTCACCATAACACGTGCTCTGTTTGGCCATGGACATTAAGCAATGGAAAATCACACGTGCTCCAAGTGAAAATCCTATCAAGGTAATAGGACGATTGCCATGAGCACGACTCAACAATACTTCGGCCAATTGTTCGCCGACCTAAAAACTATACCAACTTCTGATAACTGATCTGGATGTTCCAGAAATGGTGACTTACCCTCCACAATTTTAAAACAAGATGTGGTCATTCAAAGTGTGATCCTAAATATTAGATGAAAATAATTATCCTCCCAAAAAATGTGAAGTATACGAATTCATGCCTCGGCAGCTCTCCTTACGCAAACATTCCATGGATTATCGATTACACAAGATGCAGAAAGAAGCGCCGCTGGCCAAGCAACCGCAGCTACTAAACCTGAAATGGTTTCTTACCTACTATTTCAAAAGAGAAAATTGAGTGCCAAGTAATGCAACTTGGAAACTGTAGAAGAGAATAAAATGTTCTTTAATAAACCGAATTAAGAACAGATTAGTGTAGAAAAAATACCCGCAAATGCAGTTTCCAACAGAGTATGTTGGACAGCGAGTGATATTGCAAAAGACGTTAAATAATCAATTGCTCGTCCTAGTTCCGCCAAATATTTACTTTCATAACGCAAAATATACTGTTCGCGCGACATCCACAAATGCCTCCATTGCTGTTGAAAAACACGTTCACCTTGCTAAAACAAACAAATTTTTCAAAATTTTTACTAAAATGTGAATCCATAAGATTTCAATTGTAGTTTACACAATGAAAACCGTTTCATCTAGCTAACAAAAGCAATTAATTGATGTTAACTAGATTCAGTACTGATAACATAATGATTACAGTTATGGACGTCAACGTAAAAATGGCAACTTCGGGCACAAAGAAGCCGTTATGTCGTGGAAATATTATAGGGCATCAACCAGTAATATCTTACGCCAAAGTCAATTTTCAGAGTAGAAATGACAGTTGTTTCAAAGTGAATAAATCATTTTTTTTATTCCATATTTAAATGCAGAAGATAAAATCGAAGACAAAACCATTGAAACCATGAATTCAGTTTCAGATACCGGAAAAACTTTACCATTTGAAGAAAGACAAGTTATAAATTTACATCTTCAATCCATCCACTGATTGCCAAAACACAATGTAGACTTCGTCCTTCAGAAATCGGTTGAATTACAAATTCTTCGATTGCACCTACTCTTTTCCGCATTTTATAACCTATGGGACAGAAAGATTAAACCGTAGTAAAATCTACTAAACAAAATTTTCAAGTCAGCAAGTCAGCACTGAGAATTTCGCTTTCAAAGATTTCAATGTTTGAAAAAAATAGGAAATAATATATGAAAAGTTTCGAACTGCGAGTGAAGTACAAATAAAGCCAAAGATTTCTGACTGACACAAAACTCCACTTTTAATAAACAAGTGTTTAATTTATAAATTGGTTAGATTCTGCTAAAAGAACAATAACGACACAAAGAAGTAGTATTTTATATGTTCTATGAATCAAGGAAATTCATGGCTAAAAACGATGTCTTTTGCTGAATTGATAATAAACAACGTAATGATTCCCCTAATTATCCTTGTATCATTGGTCACGATTTACAGACTTTCTCAATTTATTTTAGGCCACTTACCTGTTAATCCCGCACCGGCCACTCCAAATAATGACCCAAGTACAGTAGTGCCCGCTACTGTTCCAATACCTGCTGCTGCTCCTGCACCAATTACTGTTCCTGCACCAATCGCTATTAAAGGCGCCGCTAGGCCACCGGTCACTCCTAAAATCCAAAAACCAAAAAATTATAATTGTATATACACAATTATTTTTAAGTATGTTAAAACAAATTAAAGCTAGGGAAACTTCGAATATGAAAATAATACCACATAAATTTCACCTATTAAGATACCACCAACACCACTCGCTGCACCAATCATGGCATATCGTTTAATTTTTTTCAGTTTTGTAGCTCTAACTCTTATCATTCTTTGTTCTCTAAAAACAAAAATGAATTTCACGTCCTTTGATCCAAATAAAGCAATATTATTCACCATTCAATAATTTTACAATTCTAATTTGAAATGCAGAACATTCCAGAATTACTTTTCACTAATTTTTTCCAAAAATAACGTCATCATTATAAACGGATTAAACATTAAATCTTATTAACGGATATACAACTTTCTGGCCATTAAAGACATCCATACATCATAATCACTAATTCTCAAAATCACAATTTACAGTGCCTTCAATCATTAAAACCACACTACGAATACACGCTACACTGTAAACAACATCAATGTGCTGAAAAAAATAGGTTCAACTTTTTTTCAAAGGTTGATATAGCAAGGAGATCCAAAAAGAAGTGAAGGGAAGAGCCGTAAGGTAATAAAAAGACTCGTTTCATTATTTGCACTGTTTTTTCACAATGTATGAATAAAATTTTTGAACATAGAAGTCTGGGTCCTTAAAGAAGTTAAGCATACATAAATCTCATACGCAGAAAACGGTGCAAAACTTAACCCTTTTATTTCGTCCACGCTAATAATGATTTCGTGAAGGAATGAATAATTAGCAAATATGTATGCTTAATAATAAATTAATTTTTAAAAAATTAATTTAGATAATAAATTTTCAAAAAGATAATAAATTTTCAAAAATTAATAAAAATAAAATAAATCCTTTCAGCAGTACTTACTCACTTTCTTTGTAATGATATCTAGTGATTGTGCCAACCGCATTCTCTATCTAAAATAGAGCTTAAGATAATCTCTTTTAATATTATTAAAATTTGAAAAACTTATATAGCACTTTCCAATGCTTAAAATAAACGTTCAGGACAATGCAATTAAGAAACAAACATCCTCAAAATCGTCCCAATCTACAGCTAAAAGTGCACAAATATGACGCAAAAAAACACGACAACGGCAATCGTAAGTACCTGAAAATGTAACATTTATTCATTTAAAATCTCACTTGAAAAAAAGTATTTTTGTCGCTTTTAAGTTTTGAAGTTTTGAATGTAATTATCCAAACAAAACAGACTTTTCATGTTAGTGAGAAATCGAAATTTTTCTCTTAGGATTTTATTTTTCCACAAAACAGTATGATCTTAAAAACCTTGAAAATCATTTTGTCTCTTCCTTTACTCACTCGATCGCAATCACAAATGGGACTTTTACAACTAAACGCAATGAAAAATGAACGAACCACACTCCGTGAAAATAGACAAAAGACAGACGAGAATAGCTAAGGCTCCTTTCTCCTCTATGATCGGATCCTTCTTAATAAGAGTAACAAACGCTGCTATGTCGTCTATTGCGCCTTCACCCTATAAAGCTTAAAATTTATGAAAAATAATTCGGTAGTTAATGCTTCGAAAAATATGACGAAGATCTAACGTGATGAGTACTGATAATGACAGTAAATTGAAGCTGAAACAAGACATTATTTAATATGAAACGATTATAACTCTTTTGATTTCAGCAATTAAATTCCTGATAAGTGGTCTCGACATGAAAACAAAAAATAAAGATCACCATAAGGTGATGTCGAACGGTTGCATTCGTTCGTTCTGGCAATGAGGTGTACTTGAGTACTTTTTCCAATGCTTCTTTGCAAAACTCACTAAAACTGAATTTACATTCAAAAAGAATAGTTAAATTCAATTATTAACCGACTTTTCAATTATTTCACAAGCGGCGATTGCTAGTATGACTTTTTCTATGGAATATAAATGTCATGATGATAAATTTTAATTCTGATCTCTATTAGTAATAACTAATAAAGTCATATAATGAAGTCCTTATATTATTTCAGCTCAGAGGGAATCTATATCCAATGGCCCACTCCAAATCACCATACTATATATAAATGGAGAACCCACATGTCGTTCAAGTGATTATTTTGCCAGAAATCAAGTCTCAGCACTGAAGCAATAAAATCAACCAGAGCGAAAGATGTGGCACTGCTTAATTGGTCACGTAACATAACCGATGGATTTACAAATACTGACGCATTTACACTGCCATTACTTTCGACAGATGCACCTGTAACAAATTACGACTTGAAGTATAGCCCAGCTCTTCTCGAGGCGACAAGACAGTTACCCATCTGAGATGTTTAACAAAACAAATAGTTCCAACTTCGAAAAGTAATCCATGATTTGAATTTACAAATGAATTCGTAACAGTAAAAAAACTGTAATAGGAAGCAAAATTCAAAAATTTAACTAAGAAAGTGAAGGGATAATAAGGACAAATGATGAATCTAAATTTACAACGGTCTTTCTCGCTGTCATATGGATTCAGTAATAAATGGAAACCTATTTCATCAAAATGTCTTTATTTTTAATTGCTAAAGTAATTTGATAATTGGAGAACCCACATGTCGTTCAAGCGATTATTTTGCCAGAAATCATGATTGTAAGCGGTGAATAAGCAGTTAGCCAAAGTCAACATTTTTTGATTAAACAAAAGTACAATTCAACAAAATGGTCATTTGCTACATAACTCCCAGTTGTAGTAAATCATTTAATTCACGATTAACTTATTACTAAATTGTTTCACCAACAGAAAAAACAAACCCAAATCCGCCGTTGGAAACAGTGAGCCAAATGCATTTTCTTGCAAATTATCCTTTTCTGAACTGGTCATCGTCAACAATGAGGAATCTTTTTTGTAGTATTACCTTAAACTGCACAAAACATCCCAGCTCTTGAAAAGATAGAGCATAATAACAAACTTAAAACCTCTTCATTTAAAAACTTTCACTGAAAGCATTAAATTTTTGATTCTCCTCTGCATTCGACATAAACTAATTCGATAAAATCAAAAAAATATCTGGCTAAAATCAAGAGATCTCTTAACTACGCTCTCATTAGAATTTTATAAATTAATTTAAAAACTGCAGATCAGACCAAAAGTTCAAATAAATCAATGTCGAAAGACTCTATATTACAGCGAGAAATATAACTTTCTTTATCAGATGGATAATCGTGCAGAGAAAACACTGCAATCATAACTGTCACTTACGATGCAAGTCATATACGAATGGAAAACAAAATTAACCACATTTGAGGCACAAAAGAAATCACAATTTTTTATGTTTATTTGAATAAAACAATTCATAACAATGACAAATGTGCATGAGAGGTTGTGAAAAAACTCTATATGAAACAATTCTTTATTTCACTGAATAGTTAAATTTAAAAATTTTCAAAATAACTAGTATTAGTAAAAAGTTCAGAGAGTAGAAATAATCAGTTTTTAATTTTCTATTTTAAGCGCCCTAAAACAATTGCAAATAAACCTTCTCCATAAGTAACCATATTAAAAAATGAATATAAAATGCATAGTAAAACAAAAGTGTAAAAACCTTGTCTTTCGGTTAAGGTAATACCAAGACTATAATAATGTAACTCACAAAGCAATGCTTCTTCAATCATATATCTCCTTATTGCTCAGCATGTTCTTATTAGCAACTGAATAATTATAGGACAAACTGTTTAAAGTAACTCTAAGGGTGCTTTAGCTGAAAAGATTAAAAGCATCTCTTCACAGGGCGACAAGGCGTTCTTGTAAAGAAAGCTGTGTTTTCGTTAAGCTTGCCAAATACGAAATCATCATGTAATCCTGTAAAGAGAAAAAATTTTTACAGTATAAAAACACAGCCTCATATATAAGCAATAACTCTTAATCGAAACAGCCGAACTGTTTGATTCGTCGTAGATCAGAAATAAAAAGTTTGAAAAAAATAAAAAAGTTTGTTAAAAAATACGAAAGAAAATACTCACCCTTAAACTTGTTTTAACTAATACATCCAATTTTTCATCAGATATTTGAGTTGCAGCAGAACTGACAATATCCATCATGCGTCGTCCGAACGACGAATCAACAGGTAGTTCAGGCTTTTCAAGCATCTAAAGCACAGCGAATTACAAATGTTACAAGTAGAAAATTAAAAAAAACACAAATTCTTAAATTGAGAAATAAGATATTAGAAAACTTGAGAATAATTTCTGTAATTTCCAAAACTAATTCAAAAAAGGTATCACACTTGAAAAATGATTAACTCAATATTATTTTTTTTTAATATTCACGTACTCTCTCATAAAAAAGCAGTACATATTATACATTTCTCTTGTTTGTGAGATAAATAGATTTTCCTTCTCTTCTTATGTACGCCTACGTTGATCCAATATAATGAAAAAATGATAAGAGCAATAACACTTGCTTCATTCACATATTTCAGAAGCCTCTCCAACCAGATTACCATTTCACTCGTACTTTTCTCAAGCTGTTCTAAACCGCTCTCCAAAACAACCTCACGTTGTTTGTTACTATAAGCCGTACCACCCTGCACTAAACTAAGGGCAACACCTTCACCAGGAAAAGCATCGAATTCAACTTTCAACGGATTAAAGATGGCACAGTGTGGATCTCGAGTTCCAGGAATCCCAGCTTTAATCCTGAAATCAAAAAATCATTTTTTAAGGAATGAATGAATGTTTCTGAATATTTTTAAAAAGTTTATCGAGAGGTAAAATCAGTTTACAAAGTCAGTAAAAAAAATCAACCTCAAATATGCTCGCACAGGCATCCGGTAATTTTTATCTGGTGAATTAAAAGTTGTATCAACAGTAAGCAGGATTACTGGTGGCGGTTCTTTCTTGGCTGATGATTCGCTTATCAAACGATTATAATAATCATGATATGGCAAACAGTGAATTGATAAATCAGCGTTGGTGTAAAACCTGTAAAAATAGAAAACATGAATTCCTACAAATGATAAGATTGATTAAATTTAACCTGGACTAAGTTTATTATATTAGAAGCATTTAATTTTTCAAACAAAAAACAGTTCAATAGGAAGAATGGAACTAAGACACGAACTTTTTTGCATCAAATCTGTATAACTGCTTCGTGAAATACGTTTTCCATCGTATCCATAAGTCATAAGTTAGTGCAATGTCTTAGTCTGTCGTCACTTGGAAACACAAAAATGCTGTGTCAATATACTTAATTTTTCTATGAAGTTTCTATATCAAGTACTTGTCAATCTTGTTATTTCTGTTGAGTTATAAAAAAATTTTTTTATAGCCATCACTAATTTACTAAGTTGGTAATAAAGCACCAATTAACGTTTAAGATAGTAAGATAGTTTGCAACTTGGAAATGGTGTTAAAATTAAATTAACTATACCATCCAACTGGTTGTTCTGAGGGCGTTGCTCGTTTCATCATCATTAACATTGTCTGATTAAAGCCATCGTCTAATTCTGGTGTATCTTCCTTTTGTTCTCGGAACGGTATAGCGTAACAATTTGTTACCTAAAGTATAGAAAAATGAATGAATTAGCAAATTTCCACGACTATATAGCAAATAAATGAATTCCGATGACAATATTAGTAAAACAAGACTACCGCTCATAAAAGTATTTACAATCAAGTAGCAGCTCACTCCACGCTAATTAACTAACACCCAGTCTTTCATGATCGAACTAATAAGAATAAGCCATCTAGCTTATTTTTTTGTTTTGAATATATCCAAAACTTATCCCAATGAAATAACATCACCTGAATAGCATTTTTTTCATAGAATCCCATCAATGTGCCCAGTGCTTTGTCATTAGCACCCGGTTTGTTCGAACGTCTTTCGAATGCATCAACGATAGTCAAATACACTACTGGATGTACTTTAACTGTTAACGTTGAAGCCATCTTCCAGCTCACGATTAATTATCTTCAAGATCCTATTAAAATCACATTTAATAAAATTGCCTCGGTTATAAACAAATGATACAAACGTAATTTTTGATTGCCACTAACATTTGAATAAAATATAAGGATAGCTACGTAGAGTGTATAGCCTTTTCTTGTCCGGATAAGCATGGCATGCTTTAGGGCTGATTATATCAGAACAAAGCAACTATCTTAATTCAAGATATGAGCCCATTCCAACGACACATTATCATTTCAAGAAAACGGCCTTTCACATGCCATTAAATACCTCGATAGATGGCACATTGCCAATAAAGATTGAAGTTTCGACTTTTGGAGTGGTTAAGGATTCAAAAACGAGTGGCGCGATTGTCTCAGCTGCAGATTTTTTCGCCTGATTCAACTTTCACATGCAATCAATTTGTTATCTCAGCTCAAATTTGACTTCGATGAAATCTCTTTCAAACAACTGGGATCTTTCATACTCTGGCTACTTTAATACATCATCTACAGTTTCATCACTCCTACGGTGGACATTGTACATGCATTGTAACTATTGCAGGTTGCCTAATTCAAATTGTAAGTGTATTCTTCATTGACGTAACAATCCATGTCAAGGTCACTTATTCCTGTTCTCTTCTCTCTTGCTTTCGTATTTTTTTAATCCGTATTAAGGTCACTTATTCATGTTCTATTCTTTCTTGCTTTCATATTTTTTATTTTAAAGGATTGAGATTGAAAGTGCACATGTGCAAGTAGTCATTGAAAAGTTCCAATTTTTTCAATCGAAAGCATTCATTTGTTTTTAGCTATCTGTCTTTACTTATACAAACAATGTCCTTGAACTTTTCATTTTTGTCAGTGCCTTTGAAACATGTTTATGTTGACAAATAATATCATGTTAAGTTCATCGAAGAGCTTTCTTGTTCAAGCTACTAAATGCTAATAGAAATAAAGGAACGATAAATGATACCATTTAATCGATAAATAACTTCAAAAAATTCAACAATGAAAGCATCTAGATGGAAATAGTACCAATTGAGCATATTTAAAGTCAAAATTTAAAGAGCAACGTCAAATGCACCGATAGAATTTCCATATTAAGTCAGTAATATTGCTAATGTCTTTTGTATCATTCATTGTATTTATTGTATAGACCTGTATAGAATAGTTATTCATGTGATATTCATTCGAATGTGACAAATATGCAAAAAATCTCTCTGTACTCTTTGTTTGAAATATTTTGTAAAATTGTTTTGCAATCGATATTAAAACATCAATAAACATCTCGTCTTGTTTCAAGAAGGTAAGAGTTAAAGCGATATTTGTCACAAAATGCCTTCTCTGAAGAGCTTTGATGCAATTGTTACAGACCCATAGAAGATGCTGTAAATATTGCACTTAAACATTTTGATTCATTTTTCCTCACAGTACTTTTGCAGTGCATTTAGAGGAGATATTTCCTAGCGAAAAGTAATATTCATTTTTGCATTTATTAATATACAAACGATAGGAAAAAAAGTAAATATATGGGTCTGTGCAGACAATTAGGAAAAAGTAAATATGCGGATCTTTACAGATTATTAAGAAAAGTAAATATATCAGTCTGTGCAGACAGTTAAGAAAATGTAAATATATGGATCTGTATTTATTTATTCAATTTTGATGTGAAATATTTAAGGACAGGGAGCTGAAGTTAGCTCGTGCAGTCAGCCTTTTTCCACTTATCTATATGATATGAATTCATTCCTTCTTTTCAACTGTTTAAAACATACCAATGTCTATTCATTCAATCTTCAATTCACTTTCACAGCAACAAAAATATGCAACTATTTTTTTGTTGTAAAAAATCGCTGGAGAAATTCTCCTAAATCATTGTCGTAGGCGTGTATCATTAATATATTGCTTCCTTCCTATCAATAATGGTTTGTTTGA